CCGGATCGTCGTCGGCCGAGCGGCGCCTCTGTCACGGTCAGTTCTCGTCCTGGACGTTCTCGCCGCGATCCCGGCGCGGCATGACCGATCGGCCGCCGCCGATTCGCCGGGCCCGCGACAGCTCGAGCGGTGCAATCGCTCGAACTGCACGCGCGCGCCAGGATTTGTTGAACTAGCGCGCGCCGCTATCTTGGGCGTGTGCGAGCCTCGCCGCCGATTTATCTCGCCGATTTCTATCGATCGCCGCGCGGAGAAAGAGAGAGAGAGAGAGAGAGCCCATTGTACCCCGTGCGCACGGAGCCTTCTTTTTTGTGTTTTTCTGGCGACAAAGGAGATTGTATCGGCGAGTGAAGCTTGATTTACGTGCTTTTTGCCCAAGCAGCTTATATCGTTCGCGCGATTAAATACCTCGCGCAAGAATTCTTCGTTTATAACGCTTTATCACTTCACCCCAAAAACCGATTCGTTCCAAGTCATGCTATATTCGTATCTAACAACCAGTCGTTTCCGTTTTTTTCTTAACTTTCACTTCGCGCGTGAAGTGTTTTTACGCATAACTTCACCGGCATGGAAAGAAATTCAATTTTTGTTGTTGTTTCTCCTAGAAAAAAAAACGTTTATATTGAGATGCAAATTAATGTATGTTAATTCGACGTATACAAACCAATTGGCTTACACTTGGATGAGCAGCTTAATTGACTTTATGTATATGAGGCCATTGTTGGCGAACGTACAATTTTAATAATGTACGCTGCTTTCTGGTCAAACATCCGTTTTTTCTGGATACCTTCGAGTAGAGCTAGACGCTGCATCCCCTCGACGTTGTCCTCTGTCTCCGCCGCCTATGTCGGTCGCAGTAGGCGCGGCGGTGCGTGCCAGCAGTCCTCTCTCTCGCTCTCCCTCCCTTCCGAAAAAAAGGAAAAAAAGGAGGGTCGATAAGGCTCACGTACAGCTACATCGTCGACCGCGAGCAACATATCAAGTAGGCTTTCGCTCCGCCATTCGCTCGCGGAGTAGGGGCTTCTTTCTCGGAATGGTTGACTCGCCGAACGAATTTTCTTTGGCGAAATCTCGACTCGAGGCAGCGAATAAACGAGCATGCGTCCAAACGGCGATATTTTGCCTAACGATACTTAAGAATCGTGATCTTGGCATCGTTGCCTTGCGTCGTTGCCGGCTCGCTTCGACGAGCGCCAATCAACGGAATGGAAAATGAGAAAGTTGTCGATAGATCGAGGCGTCAAGAGGATAATCGTCTGGCCTCTCTCGTCGGGATGCCGTTAATTGAGCAGGCGCCTCCAAGAATGCCCCGGTGCCTCTTATCTTCTTCGACGTAGCGCCCCAAACTTGAACTGTCGGCCGACCCTGTTCGCCCATTACGAAGCGACTTGCGCCTCGCGGTTCGCACGTTTCCGACTTTCGCTGGAAAACTAGCGCCGCGTGTAGACGCGAACGCTAGAGGGCAATGTATCCATTGTGTAATGTCCAAGAGAAGGCGGGGTAACTCTATATTCCGCGGGTAACTCAATGCAAAAAGGCTCGCTCGCCTCTCAGCGGAGAGACCGACTTTTTCTTCTAGAATTTCGACGGTTTTGTTTGTCCGCGGGATTTTCTATATATGCGCGAGGGCGTCCAACCACTTTAGACGCGTTTCTCTCTTCTCTACCTTTTTTCTTTCTCTCTCGCGTCGCGCGCCTCTCCTTCTCTATTTTCGTCCAGAAGAGCCTGCCTGCTCTGTCTGTCCGCCTGTGCTTGCTTTTCTAGTCCATAAATTCTCTTGCGCGTTGTGCGCGGAGTGGTTAGATGACAACGCGTACCAGATGTATTTTCGATTTTCCTTCCACGAGCTTTCCACGATACTCGTGCATTTATTTCGAGTAATGGCAATATTTTCGCTCGGCTTTGTTTACGAAACTTACTGACTGATATTTATCGATGAAAAATGACTAAATTTGAAGTATCCTTCAACCTGTAATGTAAAACTCTGGCAAAAAGCAACTAACGATCCTCCGTCAGTCGTAGTGCCAATCAAATTGCAATTACCGAGCACTAGATTTAATCACAACGCAATCACTGGTGATCAATCGACAAAACAAGCAGCCTGGACAAAAGTCCACGTCGCGTGAACGAGCAAATATATCAGTATACGAAATCGACCGAGTGCATGGTGGCAATCGTTGGGGAAATTCAAAGGGACCTCTCGGGGCTATGCGTAACGCAGTTGACTCACCTCCTGCGTTCACAGTGCAAGGAACGAAAGGACGGCTATCGAGGGGCAAAGGAGAGAGAGAGAGAGAGAGAGAGAGAGAGAGAGAGAGAGAGCGAAAGAGCAAGGGGGCAGGTTTTACACATAGTCGCGCCTGCAGAAGAAAAAGCGCTATGATATAACCGCTTGCAAGGATTAGTCATTGATGGCTGCGAAGGTGAAATCATCGCGAGCAATCGCGCCATCTGCCGGCGCGATGGCGCAACCGCACAAGGGTTGTCAGCTTTTAGTCAGCTGGGTGCGGTGCGAGACCATCGCGCAATTTCGTCTATAAGAGCCTTTTCGTGTTCAGCCTCGGTGCATTTAAATTCTCGGATACGGAGAGACGTTTCGTTCGATTCGGACGATTGATGCGCCGCGTTAGTCGCGGCTGCAAATAGCACTGTCCAAGTTAATTATAAGCGCAGGTAGCCAATGCTCTCATGAAAGGCGCGCGTTTCCGATTTTACCCTGGAAATGGCTGAGACGGAGCGCGTCAGTTGCTCGAGCTCAAGCGAATTCGGCGAGTTGCGAAGCGCCCATCGTCCGTCGTCCTTTGATCCGAGAGCCCCGTGAGCCTGGAAAAGGGACGAGAGAAAGAGCGAGAAAAAGTGGTGCGCGTGGCGGTGGCGTTGCCGGGTGGCCAGTCGGCATCTCACCGCTACGTCAACGCGCATGCGCCCTTCCCGACGGCACGTGCCGCCTCGCCTCGCTAATCGACGAGCCACCGAGGGACCACGCGCGCTTTCATTTCGCTCGCGGTCCTCGCCGATCGCCGCCCCCGTTGGCCGACCGGCTAATCAAGCGCTCGACGACCGATCAGCCGCGTCGCGCGAGAGTTTGCGTCATCGCGGTTCGCGACGCAACCTTTTTCCTTTTCCAGCAGCGCCGCGGAGCCGCGATAGCGCGGCCGTGGGCGAACACTGCGACAGACGGAGGCATTCGCGCGCATATATCTAGGGACTGTGATCGAGTGCCTCCCGGCGCAGCTGTCAACGCTTTTCGCCTCTTGGAGCGGGCGGCTGCGCGCGCGACACCTTGTTGCGCCTGCGGCCAGCCAGCCAAGCTCCTCCGCGCCGTGCTCCGCCACAGAGGCGCGCGTTTCCTTTGCGGCCCGTCCGTGTGGCCAGGCGACTTCGCTCGACGAGTAAATCTTCGTACCGGAAATCAGCTTGCGCAGGTCCGTCTGTAGGCCGTGAGCGTTGAAAGAAAACGATTGAAACGGAAGGAGCGCAGTGCGGCAAAAAGTAAGGCAGCGCAGTGCAGCGCCGTATATCAATCAAGCAGCCCACAAGTGCGGAAAGGCACGCGAAGCTCGCGTAGCCCTTATCGAAAATTATGCAAAGATCGAGCGCGCGAGAGCATTACAAAGCTGCGTTTCGTCAGTGAGATTGGCAAAGAGCCTTGGTCATAAGTAAGCGAGTAACGGGCCGAGCGCGAGCGATAATACGGAAACGGGCTGCTGCAGAGGCGCGTGGCGCTGCCGCTTTCTCGCCCCCTTTTCCGACACGCTTCGGCAACTTGCGTCAGCCATAAATCAGAGTCCTACGCGCTCATTGTGTCATATCGTTTGCCGACGGCCGAGCGAGGGCAGCGTGAGACACGGGCCGCGGGAGCTCTGGTGCACCTGCCTCTTCCTCGGCCTGGCTGCGCGCTCGCGCTCGCGCGATCGAAATAGCCCGCGCCGGACCGCTTCTTCGTGCGGTGTGGTGGCCGATCGCGCCCGAGCGCTTGGACGACGCACCTGACGGCGACATCTCGCGCGAGCAGCGACGAGTCGAGCCGAGCCCTTGAGCGACGCTCGCGCTCTCTCGTTTTCCAAGCTCGCTCGCCGGCCAATTGCGAGAGGCGAGGTCGTTGCACCATGCCCACCAGACGCACGTGCGCGTATATATAGCTCGCCTTTGACTGATATATCTAGGTGCACGCTATCCTTCCGAGATTCCTGCTGTCTCTCTCTCTCTCTCTCTCTCTCTCTCTCTCTCTCTCTCTCTCTCTCTCTCTCTCTCTCTCTCTCTCTTTCTTCACTTAGCGTCGTTTCCTCGTAGCGACAACGAAAAAGCACAAGAATTAGTCTGTTTGGCAGTTTTCGCTTGTCGGGCCTCGTGCAGCTCGTTACACTCCATTATGCAGATGCGCACAACAATGGGGCTACGACGCCGAGCGCAGCGGCGCGATTCCGCTTTTGTCTGTTTTCACGTAGGCTCGTGCTTCTATCGTTTATTCGATCGTGCGGTCTTTTTGCGCTGCTCTCCGCGCGAAAGCTCTCCTCGACGCCGCTTTTTTCCAGCCTCGAGTGCCTAGTGATACGAGCGAAATGTCGTTCTGCGGAAGCTAGGGAGTAGTGTTCGAACTATTACTGGCGATAGGTTTGCTTGACTCGACTGTCGAGTAAACACGGGAATAGAATGGCGGCTTTGATAAACATTTGGCTTTCGCTGCCAAAGCACGTTCATCGTACGTCTATGTAAGCGCGCACACCTGAGTTGACAGCTTTTAAAATACAATCACGGGCCCACGCGTGCCTGCATCGAACGTCGGGGGCTTTAAGTTACGAGACAAGTGGAGCGCGCGCGCGCGCGAGCATTTACGAGTGCTTTAGTCCCAACGAGAGTGAGATGTTGCGCGTGCTATGCCGGCAAGCATTTTCGATCTCGCCACGAGAGGCCGCGTTGGGGCGCACATGTTTTCGGAAAACCAGGCGTCAGCGGCCATGCCAGTACGAATAAGAGACCACGTTACGTTTGCTTTTCAGGCCACTACCAATCGGCGAGCGAGGCCTTGGTGTTGTGGGCGAAGCAGAATCTGAGCGACGACAACATCTCGGTGATCGTGGTCTTTCTGACAACACCATCCGAGATCGCGGCCAAGCACTTCTACAGTCCGCGGCCCGTCGCTATGGAGCCGCAGCAGCCGGAGCTCGACTCGCACCAGCCACCACCACCTGCCTTCGATTTCGCTGGCTTCGGCAATCAGTCGCCGAGCGCCAAACCGAACCTGCTGCAGACTAACGGCACCGACGACAACAACTACGCCGCCCCTTCGCTGCTCGAGCCGATCAACGGCCGACACAGACCCAAGCCGCCCAAGTACAACGACGACGATGACGACGACGAGGACGAGGACGTAAACGAAGACGTGGACGAAGAGGACGACGACCTCGGGCCGGAGACGAACGTCGATGTCATCGACGAATCGCGCGAGGACTTTGGCAAGCTCGAGCAAGCTATGGGCCAGAACTATCCCGACGAGTTCCTCATCAAGATGCCCGCTAAGAGGAACGACGAGCAGCTGCGCCAGCACGATGCTTTCGAGATCGACGATAAACGTGAGTACGCTTCTGCAACGAGCGAGCTTTTTTCTTTCTTTCTCGCGTTCTCTCCGGCGCCGACGATTAAACGCGCCATTCAAATCGACGAGTGCACTCGTCGTTAACGGCGAGGTTTTCCCCGCGATAGATCGCCTGGGGTTCGCACGCGGTGTCGCGCATACTCCGGACATTTCTCCGCTGCAGTCCGAACATAAATATGGAAAGGCTTTCGCGCCCACGGACTTTCCTCGATTGTGCAATGTAGATCGACACGTGCTGGACAGACCGGTTCGCGACACGACCGACACGTTTTTTTCAACCTTGGCTAGCTCTCTCCCGCTCTCGTGCTTTTCTTCTCCTTTGTTTTCGACGCGATGCGCCGGTGACGCAACGAAGCCTGCTTATTTAGCTTTGTGACATCCAATTGTGAGTCACGTGTGTCTGACCTTTCCGAACTTCATGTGACTCTTCGAAAATCAGCTCGGACTTGTCGCGAAGACGTTTTAACGGAGACTTATGAATGATTAGCGCAACTTATGTTCATTTCTCGTTTAAGTTCATTTTCGAAGATAAAATTATGAATTATGAAACGCGTAGAGAAATTGCATTTTCGAGCTCAACGTTCGAGGGCCGCGCCTCTCAAATCTACATCGATTAATGCAATTTAACATCGCACAGCGAGGATGAGCGCCAAAAAAAAAGGGAAAACTTGGCTGCGGAAAAAGCGGGCGATGACCATCGACAGGCGCAGCAGCAATTTATATAACATCACTGGATTCCTCGCTTCTTTTTCGTCTGCTTGGCATTCCATCCCCGGGAATAACTTTGCCGTCGAGCACAAGACGACGACGCACGCGAGCGAGTCTATCAGCGTGGGGGACCCTTCGCTTCTATACGTATGCCGGCGCACGGCGATGCCCGGCTCAATAGCAAGCCGTGTGCGTTAATACGCCAAGTCGTCGATAATTAATTAGCCGCGTAAATGGTAATCAAATATATCCACTCTCTAACGAGCCTCTGCGATCACAATGCATAATTAATGGCGATTGATCAAGCTCGTAAATGCGAGCCGGCTCTCGCCATCGGGACACTGCAGACACGAATTTTGTGCGCCGATGAGTTACCAACGAAAAGAGGCTATGCAAATGACACGAAGACTAATTATCCGTAGTGGCGTGTACGTGTGTACGTGGAAATGTTTGCTACTCGTTTCCCTGATAAAACTCTCTTCGCGCAGCAACGATTAAAAACGTACGCGCGCCTTTCCGACAAATAAAACCATCAGGCTAGCCGAGAAAATATTCTCTCTCTCCCTCGATTTCGAATCTGCAGTCGATGTTCGAGCTGCTGCTGCACCGCGAAAAAATAAAATACACGTACGTGTGCAGTTTGCGTGGGAGTTGGCGATTTATGCGTCGCTCGTTAAAATCTAACGCGTCTCGCGCGCCACCACAGAGTTAATTAGGAATGATAGTCATATTTCACCAGCGATTAATAGCAGCGCCAAAAGAAAGGGGAAGAGAGGAGAGATGGTATTGCGAGGTCCGGTTAAGCAAAGTTCCACTTTGAAAACTCTTTCTCTCTGCGTGGCTGCATTTCCTGCACTGATTGTCGTCCGTTCGCTTCTCGAACGGGCGAATCAGACTGCGGCAGTAGCGGCGCGCGCGCAAAAGAGAGAGAGAGAGAGAGAGAGAGAGAGAGAGAGAGAGAGAGAGAGAGAGAGAGAGAGAGAGAGAGAGAGAGAGAGAGACGACTTGGAGACTGCATAGACGACGACAGGTGGACAGGATTTTTAATTGGCCGTAATCGGATGCATTGTTGCCGAGCCCCACTTGCCACGTTAATGTCAACGGGATCCTCTCTATCTGTCTCTCTCTCTAACTTTATGCACAGCGCCGAGACGTTTAGGAATGCAACCGCGACTCGAAATAATTGCTCCGACGAACGAACGCTAAGCGATTTACGATAGAAATCACGGCAGGTGGATTTTCAGCCTGATACGTAGTTTGCTGAAAGTGCCCTCAATTTGGGACGCGCTTAATTGACTGCGCTCGAGCGCGAGGAGATCGCGATGTGAAAAATGACGAGGAGACATCTTTAGGGGGGCAGCGCGTATAGTTGGAGGCTAGAAAAGGGGCCGAGCTAACAGGCAATATCCCAGCGGGAAGCCTGTCGACGGAAAGATGCCGCGAAATCGCGCGAAGGTGGGAAAACGCACAGGCCGCGGGCGGCCAAGGCGGCGTAAAGCCGAGGGCAGAGAGAAAGACGGGCGCGCGTACGACAAAGCGGTAAGCGCATTAGCGGCGCTCGAGCGACGCGGCGAGCGCGTTGGCGTTGGGGCTTCCGGCAGATTTCAGCTAAACCGGCGTGTCGGCAGCACTTGGCTTCTCTCGGCGATTCGTTAAGCGCGCTTCCGCCCTCGGCTATTTCTGCGGCAGGTGCTCTCCTTGCACACGTACGCGCGGTACTCTGCCCTGCTGCCCGAGGCGCTCGCTCTGCGCTTTCTCGTCGCGGCGATAATCCGACGCCGAGATAGCCACTCGCCGCCTCTCCATCGTCGCCAGCTCTGCTCTACGTGGCTTCGATTTACGTTTCGCGGCTTTCGGTGCGTGTCTCGGCTGCTCAGGCGGACTCGTCTTCGCTGCGTTAATTCGGGCTTGCGACCAGAAGGTCATTTGATTTATCAATGCTCTTTCATTCACGACCAAATAAAAGTCACAAGTTGTTTATGAAATCAGCACTCGCGCGCGTTTTTTTAATGTAAATCATGCGCCAAATATGCCATGCACATACATTAATATATTACTAATTACTAACAATTCGTGCTTGTTTCAATTAAATCGTTTTTTTTTTCAAACTACAGACCAAAGGCATTCGAATGTGGCGCAACATCTAAAAAAACAACTGCCCACATGAACAATTCAATCAAAAGATAATGATTGAATGGGTGAAAAATGCAAGACTGGTGAAATCGAAAATTTGAATGTGGCGCGTTCTAAAAGGAGGCAGCCCTTGTCGCGAACGGTATTGGTCGGCGGCGGCGGCAGCAGCAGCGGCGGGCGGCCTTCGTACGTGTGCGCGTAAATGTGTTCCGCGAACGCACGGCGCAGCAGTCCTTCCGGTATTATAAGCCGATATACGTGCGCCGCGCAGCAGTTCGTTGTCGAACGCGCATACTCGTGCGCACACAAACACACAGACACGCGTGCGCGTACGCGCACGCGCTCCTCTTTCTTCTCGCTCACGGAAGAAAGAGAAGGAAAACGCGTATAAAGCAACACGTCGTTTGTACAGGCCACAACCGGCAGTTGGTCCGTTCGCGCGCGCGCGCATACATCTAAGATTCATTTTCGCGCGCCAAACAAATAGTAACAATAGTAATAGTAATAATAATATTAATAATAATAATAAAAATTTGTCCTCTTGGAAAAAAAATACGCGTTGGTGTTTGGCAGAGTGGCGTGTACAGCGATAATCTTGGTGAACGCTATCACAGTGAAAAGATTAATAAGTGTCAGGTATGAGAAATTCAAATTCGAACGTTGTGTGCGAGAGAGTGAGCGTTTCCTTTTTAGGAGTGCCGCGTGTATGCAGGCCGGCTTATTCAAGAGAGAGGAAGCGAGAGCGAGTGAGAGCCGAATTGGTACAAGATACTTTTTGTTCCTGGCATGTGGTTCTCGGCGGAGGGCATTTTGGGGCGTGTGTTGTATTGTATATATGTGCTTCTTTTTCTTTGGCTCGCTCTCTTTCTCGCGAGCGACATCTAACCTTTTCACATAACCCAAGACGAACGCCTTGAAATAGAAAGATCTCGATTTTTTTCTCTTGCCTTCTTTCTCCTTCGGCGTATGCAGGTGATTGACGCAATAGCCGTCTTGCTCTTCTCGCTCTCGCTCTTGTTCTCTCTCTCTCTCCCTCTCCCTCTCCCTCTTCGCCCTCTCTCTCTCTCTCTCTCTCTCTCTCTCTCACGAATTATTTTCGTAGCACAGCTTACAAAGTGACAATCCAGAACGGTCAAACGCGAATATACGTTTATATGTCAGCTGATTGTTTATACACATGTCGTGCGTTGTTGCATAATATTCATCTTCTCGCAAGTGTATAACATTTGACAGTTGAGCTAAATCACGCCAGCTGTTAAATAATCAGTTACTTGCAGAAAAGAAAAGGAAAGATGTTAAACGCAGTTGTGGTTTCTTTGGTGCGTGCAGTGCAGACTGCATCTTTATTAGCCTGACTTGTCGCCAAACAAGGCGGCTGATCTATTTTTGTATTTAACACTCGCGCTTTCGCGCACGCCGCGGCGACGTTGTATTAAAATCCTTTCGGCGACGAAAAAAGCCGCGCCGCAGCTGACGCACGACGGGCGTTGTATGCGAGAGAGTGCGGAGCAACCGCATTGTTGCCAAGTGTCTCAATTGTTTCCTCCTAATTTGCATGTCAAACTTTCTGCATAAATGCTTACGCGCGAGTAGAAAGTCAATCGAGCACTGGGCTGCACGCCAGTGCTGCGGAAGCCTTTGCGACTGTCGCGAGAAAAATTGCCGTTGACCTTGAGTATTGTGTAGGTGCGATGATAAAAGTACTGTTGTGTGCGCTATCGAAACGTTCTAGAGTTACGCGTTCGCGTGAATCGGTGCCGTAAATAATCTCGTCTTGCGAGCCCTATGGCAGTCGGCGATAAAACTTGAATTCCAAGCCAACCAACGCGTTCTTAATTAACATTTTTCGTCGATTATTAGTCGCGGACAATCTTCGTCATAGGCGCTGACACGAGTACAGACGTATTCCCAAACCAAAACAAAACAGATTCTTATCGAGAAGAGAGAGAGAGAAATAGATCGCGGTACGCGACTGCCCCGAGCGCCTCATCAAACGACGATTGAGCACTTTTGGTCGAACAGCACCCTTGTGTTCGGCGACACACCCTCCGTCACGCTAGCAGGCCATATACAGGGCTGGAAAGAAAGGCGAGAGAGGAGGCGTCGAGAACCGGCTTGCCTCTGTGCACCGTGTAGGTTATGCGGAGATATCGCTGCTCGAGCCCACGTAGCCGCAAGACTGACTACTCCAGTCCCACATGCCGGCCGATTGTAAATCAAGTTTTCGGTCTGATTAACCATTAAGGACGTATCGCGGCAGCATTATGATATGTAACTTGCTGCTGCCGACGAGGCGCTCGCCTATCGCTCTTATTTATTGCGCCGACGAATGACGAATGTGCGAAAAGCCACGGCAGCCTCGCCCCCCGCCCCTCTTTCTCGCTCATGTGCAACGCCGCTTACGTTTATCTCGCCACGCGACGAATTTATTCGCCAATCATCCTTATTTTCATTGAATATCGGTATTATTCGATTGGATAGCGCGAACGCGCTGCCAATTGTTTTGCCAGACCCATCGCTTACTGGATCGTAATCGGCACTTCGCTCAAAGAAGTTGGCATTCTGCTGCAGGATCACACCGTATCGACAAATTTTCAACCGGAAAATGCATTCGACGATGCGAGACTACCGCGGCAGCAGCAGCTGGCCGGCCGGCCGGCGCAACGGCGTCTTGCCTCGCGTGTAAAATTAGCTTTGCTCCGTCAGCCGTGGTCGTCTCCGCCACTGTTGCTGCCCGCACACTCTCCTATCCGGGAGGCAATACGTGGTTCGTCCGCGCACCAAATCATCTTTACAGCGCACTCCTAGCGTACGCGCGCGCGATATCAATTGACTGCAGCGCGTCCTCATCGAGCTTGCATGCCGCGTGCGTTGAGTTGCGGAGAGAGAGAGAGAGAGAGAGAGAGAGAAGTCAGCGCTTTAATTGGAAACCCACAGAGTCGACTACGCGCTCCTAGCGACAGATTCCCGATGGCGAAGCGTAATAGCCGCTGGACTTGTCACGAGATCGCGGCTAAAACACGTCATCCCGGACATCGCTGACCGGCGAAAATTCGATCGCGCGGTCTGCCGAGGGAAAGGGGGGAGGAAAAGAGCCTTCCGCCTTTATCGCACAGGTGGTGGGTTACGCGCTTGCGCTAGCGATCGATAATGCAGCCGGCCGGCTTCCTCTCTTTCTCTCTCTCTCCGTGTCTCCGTTTCATCCTGCTGGCAGGCGCCGCGAAGGGCAGGCGCACGCTCGTTTCGTTCGCTCGCCCACGCTCTTAATAGCGCGCGCACGGCTAGACGACCATGGCGGCGCTGGACGTCGACAGGTACGTACAATCTTTTTATGCGCGCCCCGAGGGAGGGCGGAGGGGAGCTTTGTGTGTCACGCGATCGCCGGGATCAACGAACTGGCCGAATCGATCGTGTCCTTGCGGCAGGCCGGCCGGCCGGCCGGCCGTGTGCGCGGAGAAAGGGCTGTTCGCCGATAGCTCGGCCTCCTTGCGCTCGACTCGCCCCGCCTCGCCTCGCCGCGCCTCGCCTCGTTGGCTTTGCACGCAAACGCCAACTGCCGATGAGGCAATCGTTGCGTCGCGTGTTCGCTCGAGTGCTCTCCGGCTGGACAGCCGCGTTCCGATTTGCCTCCTCCTTGTTCGCGACGCTGGGAAGACGCGATTGTTCATAGGAGCGAGTCTCGGAGCGAGTCTCGAAAGCTCGACTAGCGGAGACGGAGAGAGAGAAAGAGCGACTGGCATAGCAACCGTAGGGCGCGCGACACGCCTCGACACTCGCTAAAAGCTCGTCTTTTGTCGTTTACAGAGCGTCATGAGGGCGAACTGGTCGGCCAGGCGGATAATGTAGCCGACAGCGAGGAGAGCGAGGACGAGTGGAACTTTTACCGACCAGAAGAGCAGCAGAAGAAAGCGGCGGCAGCAGCCGAGTCGTCGAAACCCGACAGATGCGAGAAGGAGCGAGAAGCTTGCAGTCAACAGCAGCCACAGCAGCAGTCGGCGCAAGACAGCGCGCTTTTCTCGGAGCTGGACAACGATAACCGGCCGCAGAGCAGCGGCACCGACGACGTCACCGCCGAGTACGACGAGATTCACGAGACCGAGCCACAGGAGAAGCAGCCTTTTGTCGCCACGTCCTTGCTCGAGCACCAGCTCGACCACAACGATGTGAGTTGCGCTTCCGCTGCCTTCCGTTTCCGTCGGTTTCCTTCGGTTTCCTTCGGTTTACCTCTCTGCTCTCGATTCTCCACCGGTCTCGTCTTTCTTTTCCCTACTTGTATCAACCGACCTTGGCCGTACAATATCAGCTTAAGGCTTCTTCGTCTGTCTGCTCGATTCATGCTCATTTTGCTCTTCTTTGGCGCACACGCGAGGCTTGACTATTCAATACTTTAACCCATATCGAAAATCAATATCATCGCGTCGTCTACCTGTTTACTAATGTCCATCGCTCTCGCTGTCGTTTGCAAAATACAGCAATACCTATTTTGTACACGACCCCGAGCTGCAAGACGACGCGCAGAATGACAATCGTCGTCAAATTTATCAAACACCACAACGAGCATTGGTGCACCATTGGTGGTGTACTTACCCTTTTATTTGTCACGAACTTTCCATTTGCAATCTCGCGTCGCAATGATACAGCCTTGATACGAAATTCTTAGAAACACCGAGCGAATGATTAATCATAAGTGTTACTAAGATGAAACCAAGTTGTAGTAGCACTTTGTAGCACGAGACAACCACAAGAAAGTGACTGGAATCGTATCGAGACCTTTTATTCGAGTAGCACGCCACCATCATAACCTATCGTAACATATCATTTCTCTTTACCAAACCAAGGCAACTTACGTAATTTTGCGATATTGCAGATCGAAGTGGAATCCGAGACAAAAGCAGTAGCAGCGGTCCCGCTCAAAGAGGACGGCCTGGTGCAGCATCAACAGCTGCATCAAGAAGCAAAGCTGTTCGAAAACGAGGAAGAGGATATGGATTCCCATCTGAATCCAGACGCGAAAGAATTTGTGCCCAGTTCACCCGGCTCGCCACCGCTAGTGCCCCAGCTGGTGCAAATGAACAGCGATTTGGTTGCTGGCTCGCCGCTCAAGCAGAACCAGCGTGCTCTCAAGAATCGCAAGATTCCCAGCGAGCAGGAGTTCCAAGAGGAGATCTGCCGTCGGCCATCGGAGATCAACGACCAGATTGTCGACTTTTCCAACAACGAGGCTTCGCCCAATACCACCACCAACCTCTTCAGCGGCTTGGAAGACGAGCGCCAGAAGACTGTCCTCATGAATCTCGACGAGTCCGAGGTGTCATCCACCAAGGCAGAATTTGGCGATGAGTCCAACTACTCCGTCGCCAGCGAGTTCTACAAGACTGGAGCCGACTGCTCGTACACTGGCTCCGAACGTGGCGAATTTGACGCGATGGCTACATCCATGACTCCCGGCGACTTCAAACAAGCCTTTGAGCAAGATCTTGATCTTAATAAGGTTCACGAACTTAAGGACGAGGACTTATTCTCGGTGGATACGCACAATGGCCTACGAAACGACGAGGAGGTACCCAAGATTGCTGTCAACCTAGACGATCTCGTTAACAGTACGGACAATTTTGATTTCGAGCAGCAGAATGTCAGCGTTGAAGTCTTCTCAGCAGTTGTCGACGAACGCGTGTCCTCCTATGACAACAACGATTTACTGATGAACATGCGCAACTCCGAGCATAGCAAGGACGAGTTGCCAGAATCTACTTTCAGCAATCCCTTCACAACCGTCGACAATATTCAGAATCTCACCGAGGGTATTCAAAATGTCAATCTCGAAGATAAGGTAGATGAGAAGCCTCTCAGCGAACCGGTAATGATGAATCCATTGGATCTGAACTTTGGCGCACCTCCTGCTGAGCAGAAGGCAAACGACGCTATTCTCGTGTCTCCAGTCAAGGAGCCCGAAATTATGTCGAGCAAGTTCGAGGAGGAGAATCTCATTTCACGCTCGACCGAGGCATTGCTCGACGAATTCAAAACTGAAACAGAAGAGGCTTTCGACAATCCCAACCGCCTGGAGGATTTGAATCCTTTGCACGACCAGTTAGCTGAAGCCGTAATGACTGATACTGTTGTAAAGTCTTTCGATAAAATGCTCATCGAAGAATCGACTCATAAGAAGCAAACTGAGGAATTTGTTCATGAGAAACACGTCGAGGAGTTTGAATGTAAAAAGCACACCGATGAGCTTGTTCATAAAGAAACTATCAAGGAGCCTGTCCACGAGACATACGATAAAATCTTTGGTTGTGAAAAGAACGTTGAGAAATATTTCGAGGACGCAAAGGCTACGTATGATATGCACGTTGAAGAGGATACTCACGAGATGCATGTTAAACACGATACGAAGCCTATAAATCTGTCCGAATCTCTACAAGAGTTCACTGGTTTGGAGGAGCAGTTGAGTCCCCAATCTCGCGAAGTCAAGGGCGACATTTGCTTCAAGGAAGTGCCGACTTTAAAGGAGAGCCTCGTCGACGAACCGAAGGATGTCGAAGAAATTACGCCCTCTCCAGTAGTCGAGATGAAAAACTTGCCGTTGCTTTCAAATGAAACTACAATGAAAGTATCGGTACCTGTGACTGAAATTGCTGCTGCTACAACTGCAATTGGAGCTGTAGTTGCTGCAACATCAACCAAACCATCTAAGCCATCTACGGCGACAAAGACTTTGAAATCAACAGTGACTTCCAAGCTCGGCGCCAAGGCATCGCCGACTTCTCCAACAAAAGCAAGCGTCGCTACTAAAAGCTCCACCACACCGTCAAAGAAAGTACCGTTGACTGCTGGGTCAAAGCCCAAGCCAACTTCCGCAGTTGCTCCAAAACCTACTACGAGTTTGGCCAGCAGGACATCAACAGCTGCTAAAACCATTACATCAACGGCCAAAGCGCTAACGACCAGTGCAAATGCTAAACCAGCTCCTCGCACGAATATGGCACCAATTGGGCCGAAACCTAAACTCAGTAGTGTTGGTTCCAAGGTCGGTTCATTATCTGCTGACAAGAAACCGACAACCAATGGTGACGTCAGATCCGCTGCCGCTAAGCCTACACTAATTAGTCGAACGCAGGTCAAGCCTCCAATGAGCAACGGTGCGCCCAAGAGTAGCCTAGTCAAAACGTCTACCACACGTATGAGCATAGGCGCCAGTAGCACCAACACAGCTTCCAAGCCTCGACCGACTTCGAGCACCACAGCCAAGACTACTGCCACCTCGAGACTGAACATGTCAGGTGTAACGAGCTCGACGTCCACGGCTAGGCCAAAAACCGCTCCAGCCACTACAACTTCGACTCCGGCTGCAAAGTCCAAGATTGGAATGAAGTCGCCGATGATCGATAAACAAATCAAGGAATCCGCTAACAAGCAGATCTCGTCGGCACGTGTTTCCACAACCGCTGCTCCAAAAGCACGTCCGACGTCGACTACAACTTGCACAACGGCAAATAAACGTTTGTCGTTGGCCCCTAAGCCAGCTGCCTCTCCCTCGAAGAAACCATCAACTACCGTTGCTGCAATGAAAACGGCTGCGAAACCAAGTGTCGCATCGAAGGTCAACTCGAAGGTGAGCTCGACGACAAAGACTAGCACAACCGTAAAAACCGAGGTCGTTCAGAATGGAATCTGCGAAAGCGATGAGAGCAAGATCAGCACAACGACGACCACAACGACAACGAATATCGAGGAAGATGTACCGATGAAGGATGTTTCGCCGATTGAGCCGGTCACTGATAACCAGCTCATCACCGCCGAGTGAATTCGTGCGTGATAAACAGGATCGATATTAATTGTACCCTACTCTTTTTTATTTCTTAATTTATACATCAAATGAATCTTTTTTCCTCTATTGAGAGAAAATCAGTATAGCTTATACGTATACTATTGAACGTTAAGGCCAATAGTTTTTACATCTTAATTTTTTTTTGTGCTGCGTTTAAGTTTCAATGGACAGATACCCCGATGCGCATTCACACATAATAGTTGGAGAACAAAGTTGAATTGGATACATTTTTAATATACTCACATTTATTAAAAAAAATGCGTAATATATGTATGTTTCAAAAGAAAACGCAAATTTAAGACAAGATGTATTAACCTATATTCAAAGATCATTATTATTATATATCTATTCACATAATTGCTTGACTGCTTCGGTGTGCTGTGAAATCTCCTACTGAAACTTAAAAATAAAAAGAAAAAAAAACACGGCAGTGGATAAATGGCTTGAACTTTTGTTGTGTAAATAATCGGATGCGTTCGAAGTTCCGGTATTATTGTAATTGTATTTTATGCAAGCTCTGAGTATGCGTAATTATGTGGTGCTCGTCAATGGCCTCCAAATATTTGCGAAGAAACGTCGTTGAGGGATGATATATATGATCGATGGTAAAGATGAAACGATAAAAAATGATGATGAAACATTAAAGTTCGTAGTACGAATTTACTCGCACAGAATCGACTTTCTTTATACCAAGACGCGGACAAAACGAATTCGGAGTATATTGTTAGATATAACTCTCCCCATGGCGACGGTATTACTTTTCACCTAACAAAACAAGACGGTTTCTTTTTTTTATATTTTTAATAACATTTTTGTATGTGCATCCATATAACAATATCATATTTGATAATAAGGACATATTTATTTTTGTTTGTTCCTAAAAGTTGAGTAAAAACCAACGAAATCGTCACCATTTTAATACGTACTACTATTTATGTACAGCACTTTTGACTTTATGTGATAACTTTATTATTAAATGAAATCATCAGTATGAAGAACAACGTTTATATAAAAAAAACAAAAACAATAAACATGCGAATTTTTTCTAATATCGGTTTTCTTTTGTAAATCCGTGTGCTCGGTTTTAGAATAATTTTAAGAGAATATTTTTTTTCTTCATTTGTTATAGTTTTATTTTAATCATTGACAGAACATTGTAATTGAATAAATCTTTAACTTTTATCACTATAATCATTGTTTTTTTATCCTCATTTTTTTATGAATTAGTAATTAATGATGTTATTTGCAAGAAAAGCAACTTAATTTTGTTTTAATAACTTATTTTTTGATAAGTTGTCTTGTTAAGAGCAATATGTTCAATTCTTTAATAAAATCAGTAACACAATTTTTTAATTATTAAATCAGTTATGGAAAGTCAAAATTAGATTTTCAATAATAAAAATTTTGTTTCTAGATTAGATAACTATAGAAATACATTCAGACGAACAAAATATTGTATTTGGAAATTTTTTAACATTTCTTAACAACTTTTTTAATCACTCACTTCGAACATGTAACATATTAAACAAGTTATAGGGCTATAAGTATTAACATAATTAATGCTTTTAATGATGGACTATCTACTTACATCAACTTTAATAAGGTTTCTGGTTGAATCGCTAATTATATTGCTAATCATCGCTGTTTTGAGTAGACGAACGCTTGTTAGGGCGAATCGTTACATTTTTATTTCAAAGAATGTCCGTGTAATGTTTTTTAAACCATACTGTTTTTGGAAAAAATATCTAGTTTACAAGATTGGCGAAATAGCACGCAGCTAGTAAGAAACACAGGAGAGGGAAAATGTGGATCACATTTGCAATAAGATTATTTTCAGCGATATCAGTCTAGTTGACATTGTGCGCGTTGATTATTACACTTTACAGAGAACAATGTCGCAAGGAGTGCAGCAAGAACCAGAGCGAACGAAAATCGTAACAGCACTTCGAGCGAGCCTACTAGCGCAGTTTTCATTCGTATAATACTAGCAACGATCGGCTCTTGCCAAAGCAATAAAGGGATTGACAATTTCGTTGATTTGACGAAAAACAAACAATTTATTTGTTTTTCTACATTGGAGAACGTTTTAGCAAAACAGGTTTTCATAGAAAAACATTTTAATAGTAATTGGTGGTTTGATTGTATATCTAATCAGATTGTAAGTATATTTATTGAATACCTCTGATGTTCAAAGGTACAACCGCGTTACTGGTATACTTTAATGACTTTTTACACTAAGCTATTCAACGTTCAGTTTTTTCTACTTGGCATTATTTTACGTCTCACTTGATTCATTCATTTTCTATCATAATCATCTCCAAGCATATAATTCTTATAATTTTATAGAATGTTTTCAAAATAAATGTTTCTAATTTATAAAATTTTTTTCTTCCATACAATACTTTTTATGCATTATATATTATTTGTTAATGTTTCTCATACTCCAGGTAAAAACAAATTAATATTTTATTCAATAATTTGCTTCCAATAAATTATTTCATTTATTGAAAATAATAATCATTAACATCATTAATGATGTTAATGATTATTTAATCACTAAATAAAGCACTTAATATATTTTATTTTGATTTCTTTTAATTTGGGGTAAATGAACTTCAATTTCCAATAATAACAACTTTATTCATGCGTCAGTTACCTAAAACTCGCTTTCAATAAGTGTCGACAAAATATTGTATTTTAAAATCTTTCCCTTGCATACATTCACTGCATTTAAAAAAATATTATTTATACATTTTAGTGCCACAAGTTTTCAAGTCTAAGGCCAGTACATTCTCTTCATGCCAACTTGTTAAAATCAGATTGCACATGAACAATTATTATAGTTATATAAAATATCACACTTCAAACGTGCAACTTATTAAATAAATTATAAAACTCGTCAAATACTTTGTCGAAAACGAATCAAATATAAACAATATTTTAAATTCGTTATTTAGTCTAAAGAGAACACTTTGTTGTTGACATAGGTATAGGTGGTGCAGTCAGTTTTTTTAAGTACATCCCATTAGTAGCTCTGCTTAAACTTTCTACAACTTACAAAGACAAAACAGTAGAGGAATAAAAGCTCCAATTGCAATAAAAACAGGTATCAGAATAGATGAGTCTTCAGAGGCATAAGGATCTGGTGTACGGGGTCCACTTGTGTGCCTGGTTCGAACAACTGGCTCCTCCTCATCATCTAGCATTCCTTGATATTCTTCAGGTTCATGAGGAACTGGCCCTAGTTTTGGAACATCTATGGATGAAAGTAAAGTAATTAATAATAATAAAATAGCTAAATGGTGAAATCTAAAGTAAAACTCTTGATAACTTTACCATCAATATCTCCATTAATCACAGCTATAGCATTAATTTTAGGATTATCTCGATATCCCTGAAATATGCAATTCCACGAATTACTTACAATATGTTATTAATATACAACTTTTGACCATTAATTAAACTTTGTTATATTACTTTGATAAACTCCACTCTTATTTTACCACCAAGAATGTCTGACTCTTCTTCATTGTATATTAGTTTACCCTTTAGTACTTTGAATGGAATATATTCATCATGAGCGATACCTCTGCCAACTTTCTCAAATATATCTAAATCAGTTACAACAGTATGATCACCATTTAGAACCACATCAAACACCTGTCAAAATAAATTATGTAAACATGAACATTTTAATAATTGTCAACAGATAGCAGTAGTGCCTTACAATACCTTCATATTAGGTGAGTTGAAATAAACTTCACAAAACTTAAGAATCATAACATATTCACCATCTTCTGCAATAGGTATATCATAGCCAAATGTGCTGTGATGATAGCGTTCAGTCTGATAAAGTATCTGATCAATAGTATTGACTCTTCCAATAATTAGCTGCTTGCCGTAATCCGAAGCAGTTCCTACTTTCCCCATAAGAGGATCTCTTTGGTAATGAATACCATAGCTGTCTGTGTGAGCATCACCACCAGCATTGACAGCATAAATTACTTCTAAAGATTGTGCATCTGGAGCATAAGCAACAAGAAGAAACAGGCTCATAAGCATCCCATAGTTGGACTTTATGCTGTACATTGTCTTATCTCTGTAACTGTAACTTTTCTCTTCAATAAAGATAAGAAAATAAAAGCAGTTCAGCTTTCACGTGAACACAATCTGTTCATTACAAGTTGAGATTTCCAAAAAGGTAACTTAGACCGGTGTTCGAGGTTAGAACTATTAAAGCTAAAGCACCGGTTCATTCCTGAAGCCTGCAAGCTCAAAAACACTAATTTAGATAATATAGCAGTATGCTAATTCCTTAAGTTTGTACAGGTAGATGGATACTTACATTACGGTACTAAGGTGCGAGTGGCGGCAAATTGACGTCAGAAGGCGCGTAGGCGGAGGATTCCCCCTTGACGAATACACGAAACTCGGCATCCGCAAGCCAGTAGCCCAGACTCCGCAAACAGGTTTGTATTTGTTTATCCTATCAGTCAATGTTTGTTCTTTTTTTAATTTTAAACCACGAGAGTAGACGAAGATGATAATATTGACTTTATTATTGTTGACACGGAGACTACCAACGACGACAAGTGTTACACGTTTGCACTTTGCAGTTTGGAATGATCAGTGTTGGGCCAAATCGAATAACTTTGTCAAACTGCTCTGTGTCGCGCACTTCAGGTCGTTCAATCTTCATTCCCGCTTCAGGAAAAGTCTGTTCACCACGTCTACTCGAGTTAAAATATTGATCAAATAATTTTAATATTAATATAGTATATAAACTATTTCATTTGATCGGAAATAAACGACACATATGTACTACATATTACTGAAAATTTGAAATAGTATAGCGTGAAAATTTGAAAAAAGTTAAAGTTAAAATAAAATATTATGCAAAGTTAATTAATGTTATTATGTGCATACAAAGAAATAGTTATATTCTCGATATAATTTAACTATTTTCTTCCATAGCTTTTTTCAAATTTTGTTAAATGTTAATGTTAAAAGTAAAAATTCTATCTAAAAATGGCATATATAATATAAATTGATTCAGTAAAATGTAAGCTAAAAGCAACAATGATGGTCAGTCGTTAATTACTGTCTAAAACGTTTACCAACAATAATTTATATATATTTTTTTAATAACTTTCAATCTTGCCCCCTTTTACAAACAGAAAAATCTTTAATAAAAAAATTCAAACTAAAAAAAGCTGTGAAATAGTTTATATGACTTTTATGATCATAAACACATTTCAGAAATCATCAATTTTATCGCCCCGTACATATCCGAGAAAATTTAAAAACAGAAATTAGATTTAGACTTTATCAGAGCCTTTTCAAATACACTTATTATAGTTTAAAGGTAGTTTAAAGGTACTCACATACGCGGTTCATCTAATCTATTGTAAGTATCGTAAGCCACAGCCGCGCATACATCAAAAAGCAATGTATTATCGAAATCACTAATAAAGAAGAGACAGATTGATCGAGAGAGAACGTCTATTAAGTAACTATAGCCGTTGTCAAAACTCGAAGAGTGAGAATTTCTCTCTGTTGGTCTATCTATTCTCCTTTTCGTTAACCGAACTATTGCAGTATCATACATAGTAAGCCCTGAGACTCAGAGAAAAGGGAACCATGTCAAGACAATTAAGTGATTATACGAGCGCACCCCTGAATAACAAACTAATTGCCTATATCCTCACTAGTATTCTTATGGCTAACATAAGACGTCTACCCGACTACGAAGAAAGACGTAAGAGCGCACACAATCGCTACATCATAGTCCGCTACTCTTCTATTCTCAAGGCAGCGCTCGCAAACATCACGATTGTGATCTCAAAAACTTGAAACAAGCGTCTCACAAATGCACATGTCACAATTTATTCATTTTAACATTAGTTTTATTTTCCATAACATTTTTAGAGGTCTAATATGAATAATAAAATAGCCATTGTTTTTTGCTACAAACGGTATATTTGAAATATAACTCGGCTGATGATATATCAAATTATATCAATTTACCAAAGCCAAATAGTTTTCACGTTACAATTTCAATTACATGGTGTAAATCTATTCAATTAATTCATTTAATATGGAACGAACGTGACGAACAGACTTTATACGAACTGGGGGTTGACAACCTGAAGGCAGTCAGAAAGCGAACTATTCGATTCGGCCCAACACCAATGATGCTTATCTAATCTCTGCTGCGGCTGCGCAGTACGCACTATGTAGCTATTTGCGTATACGCGCGAGATAACATTTCATAAAAATTGATGTGTCTGAACCTGTCGAAATATCTGAAACTGTGAAGCACTATGGTTAACAAATAGTATCAGGTAACTTCTTTAAATGTACACATATATATACACAAACACATTTTATATATTCGAAATATATATTTATATATATAAATTCAAAATATTAACAATGTTATAGTTATCGAATTCAATTCGTACTGTTATTAATTGAAGGGGTTTTTTCAAAATTTATAATAAATAATAAGCTGTAGTAGGGTTCTTTCAAAAGCAACTAAGCAAAGCATTTAGATTAGTGGTTGATGAAATAATTGTTGATAGCTCTTTATTCGCATTACTACTACACCATATAATAACTTAATCGTCAAGCACGCTTCACGTGCCATTTTGTTGTTGTTTATATAATTAATAGTTATTAAGCAGTTTGTTTCTTGAATCCAATAAAAACTGTTATTAGGAAAATTAAAAATCCTTAATTACTCTGTCTATATAAAATAATTTTACAATGCTACATGCTCAATATCCATCAATATTAATTGGCCAATAATTATTTAATTATGTTGATATGATACAAAAAAAATGTGATAAGCAAATCTGATAATCTACCAACTTATGAGGTATTTAGCTATAGATAATATATAGCGTATCAATTTGGTTTCCGCTTTTCCTTTTTCTAAATAAATCGAGCCGTTATCTATGCTTGATAGTTACATTTTTTTTAACATATTTGTTTATATAAGCTTTACTCCTTGTAGGATATCCCTATATTTATAATACATTGTTTACTTCCACTTTCAATAATAAATATAAGTACCAATTTTCAACTATTTTAGTTGTCAAAATTTTGAAATTTTGTTTACATTTATAAGCATAATTAAAAATATTTTTTAATACATCACCTATAGTGAATGTAATAAATAAAAGTATTGAAAAAGAAATTTCACCTGATGTGCTAAAAGAGGTAGAAATTATTCCAATACATAAATAAAAAGAAAAACACGCACTTAAAAATCACAGACCTATATATATATTGCTGACCTCTCACCTAGTTGAAATATATGAAAAAAGGACACACAGAAAATAATTTGGCTTTCAGAATAACATAAGTACCAGAGATGCTTGGAATAATCAACTTGTGATTATTTGTAGTTGATTAACATTTAATAAATTAACATTAAATACATATAAAACATATTGAAATTGGTAACAATAAATTGTAATAATACATCAAAAAACTTGAACAGTAAATAGTTCAAGGTAATAAAAATAAACAGAGTAGATAACATAAAATATTTAAGTATTACCATTGACAGTAACATGAAATAGGACCTACATCTATAAAATATATACAATAATACCAAGTACCTAATTTTTATTTCTTACAAATCATCAAGAATTATGAATTCAGAAATACTAAGAATCCCTTACTATGCACTATTGCATAGTATAATCAACTCAATAATTGCATGTGGAGGTGGTATTTAGGGAGAAAAATGGACTTCAAAATCTATAAAAAGAATATACTCAAATTATTTTTAAAAAATCGCTTTTTTAATTGATAAAAACCTACTAGACATAGAGCAAACTTTCTCTTTTGAATCAATGCTATCAAGAACTGTCTTAAATTTACAATAATGAAAACAAAAAGACTAGATATAATAAATTGCAATTACCAAAGTGATTAAAAACAATAATAAACATAAAAAATAGTTCCATAAGGCCTATATATAATACTTTTCTATAAACTAACTAATAAACTTAAATTGATTGAGAATATTAATACTAGAATTAGGAAACTCAAAAAGTTGATAATAAAAAACCCTTAAGTACTAAAGTGTTAAATAAATTATAGAAGACAAACTCATTTGCAAAAAATTTAAACAAATAATACTAAAAAAAACTATAGAAATTCATATCCCATATTGGAAGCTGTACATGAGGATATAAATTTTCCAGAAAAAATACTGCTTGATATTAGGACCTATATATATGTTCACAAGGGAATTGTAATTTTTACCATAATAGATCTCATACAAGATTCTTAATTATACAAGAAAATTATAAAAAAATACAACTAAAATCCACCGAGGAATTAAAAAAAATCATAATGGCAAATAAAATTATCAATGATAATCTCAATAAACCCGATCATAAGGGATAAAACTAATAAATTTAACAAAAGCTTTGTATTTTGAATCAGAAGCTATTCCAATAAACAACATCAATAAATTTAAACCTATAGAAACACTTGTTGACTTAATAGATGAAATAGTTAAAGATATAACATCAAAGCAATAGTTAAAAAAGTACCGTCAGTCCCTGGTAAAGCTATTCAGAATCCAAACTCTTGTAGGACGACTTACGGGGAATATTTGGGAAATAACAAGGCTCCACTTTACTTTCATAGAGGATCTAGTGTGAAACAAATATTTTCTATACTCCGTGCGGAAAGTGCGTTTTCCCGCACGCTTGGCAAAAAACGTGCGTTGAAAATCGCATTTTCCACACGTCGTATAAAAAAATACGGTACGGCACATGTTCGGGAAAAAGTTTCTCGTCTCGTGTACCTTTCCACCCTCGCTTTGTTCGGGCGTAAACGCCACACGAGACAAGAATCTATTTGCCCGCTCTTGTATCGTAATGTACTATTCCCGCACTTGTATCGTAATGTACTATTACAAATTCGGTGTATTTGTTAAAATTCCAACAAAAATACAAAGACCTAATTGTTCTTGATGACAGATCTGTTCGAAGTTAATTTTGGTTTGGTTTAAATAAAACAATGACCTGTGCGATGTTAAAATACCACTAAAATACTTAACTTCAATTGACGATATCTAGATAAAATAGTACATTACGATACAAGTGCGGGAAAATGGATTCTTGTCTTGTCTGACGTTTACGCCCGAACGAAGCGAGGATGGAAAGGTACACGAGACGAGAAACTCTTTCCTGAACATGTGCCTTACCGTTTTTGTTGGTACGACGTGTAGAAAGTGTGATTTTTAACGCACGTTTTCTACCGAGCGTGCGGGAAAACGCACTTTCCGCACGAAGTATTGGAAAAAAAAAAGATATTCGAAATCTGAAAAATGGATTTTGAAGGGTAAGAGTTATACTTTCAGATGGTATGAGTCGTTTTTAGGAAAAAAAAATTCCCATAATGTTTGAATAAAAAAATATAGCTAAAATATAGCCAAATATAGCCAAAAAACATATTTTTTACACATTTAGGTTAGGATATCTCAAAAGTACGACGTAATAGAGCAATTTCAAGAACGGATTCGTGTTCAACGCATCGTAATATTTCGAGATACATTACTGATATTCTTGGAAAAATTTCATGTTGACCTGTGTAACATATCAAAGTACAACGCCTAGAGGTTTATTAGCTCCGATTTGCTGAACATGTCAGCTGCTGTGCTATTTTATACAAGGTGCCCAATGCACTTGTAACTACATTTAGCCAATCAGATTACTAATAAAACAATATCACTTGAAAGACCATTACTTATATATATGCAATCAAGTCACTTTCAGTAAAAAGTAAAAATGGAACCCTTTGATCCGTACGAAACCTGCATATATGATAAAGTACATCGCGTTCGGAGGTCTCGAATGCTATTTCACCTTACCGTATGCTCCAAGAATTTCCCAGCGTCAAATTTTATGCAGTGTCCATTTAATGTATTCCATAAAGTCAAACGAACGGAATTTAAAGTAAGTTTTATTTGTAACGCAAGCAATATTCAATATTATCAAATATTGTTTATTTTACACAGAATCACATAAAGTATTGTTCAGCAAAGACATCTGTGATTGATGATGCAATATATGATACAAAATTACAAACAGAACCAAATATCTTACCAATTGATGTCAACCCTGTAGATACGTCAAATACAGAAAAGTGGATGGTACATTTATTGAAAATTATGCATTAGTTAACAAAATTGTTTGATTATTCCATTATAAAAATGCAACATCAAATTTCTACATATCAGTATTATTTTGGAGCATTATTATTATTTATAAAGATAATTTTCACTTTAGGATGACAATTTCACATCATACAACCCACTTCAAGCTGTTCAAAATAAACCAATAGTATACCCTATTATTGGACTGTCAAAAGCAAAGAGAAGAAAACACAGAATGCAGGAAAGGATGCGTTTTAATAAAATTATGGAAAACAATCAATATCAAGATATAAATCAAAGTTCTATACAATCCGACTCTTTGGTAATAATAGTATACTTGATACTTTTAATCATTTCCTTTTTATTTTTGGCAACATTTTATTTTCTTTTTTCTTTTCTTTTTTCAAAAATTGAACCCTTAGTCCTCAAAAGAACTTGTTGTCAGTGATAAAAATGAACTGGGTTGTTGAATAAAATAGAAAAAACATCAATCAAAATTTACATATATTGTTTCTAATTTTAGGAAGACAAACCTTTGCGTATACCATATCAGATTATCAAAAAAACCAATGGAGCGCCATTAACTAAAAATCAAATTTCTCTACCTTCTAAAGTAAATATACTTTTTACATTTATACTTTTATCACTTTCATAAACCATTTTATTTTTATCTTTCCTTTTCATGATTGTAAAACCACAGCTGCCATACAAAAAGTCGGTTGCTAATGAAAATAAAAAGGTAACATTGAATAAAAAAGAAATATTATTCATAGTGTCTTTTCTTATAAATTAAATTTGTATTAACATGATTCGAAACCATTTTTACCAAAAGTTAACAAAATTGCGAAAATTCAATTTAATTAGGTACTAGCAGTATCAAAAAATGAAAAAAGTTATGTTTTTAGGAGGATATCGACGATTCTATAATTGATAAATTATCAAGAACGTTTGAAGAAATCATAATAAATGACGAAGACTACAAGAAGAAAACTGAACAGTTGGACGAAGAAATAAACAGATTGAAAAGAATTCCAATCGAGAAGAAAATGAAAAAATAATAAATCAAAATTAAAGAAGCATTTTAAAAAAATAATTTTTGAAAGACTTCAAATAGGGTTATTAACTCTAGAACTAATTTATATTTTTGGCACTTTTTACATAATTTGGTGACATTATTTTATATATTTGTAATCATTTCTCTTCAATGATAACATCGTAAACATTTGGTCAGCACAAAATTTATTTTTTTTCAGAATTAATATATACTCAAAAATGTATGAATATATAACCATAGATTTCATTAAATATCTAAGCCTTTTTGTGCTATTGTGCTATTAATTTTATACTTGAGTGTATGATATTATGGCAGTTATGGATTCAATATAAGCCAAATTCAATGCTATTTGTTTCATGGTAACTTTGCTACTTCACATAGAATGGTGTATGGCTGACCACTGAAAATCAATATCAATGTATACATATATTGATCAATATATACATACACATATATTGATATGTCGATATATTTTCATTTCAAAAATCGAAAGAAGTTCGATGAAGACGTTTAAAGCCTAGTCTTTCTTATGCAAAACCACATCTTTACCTTTAGAAGACTATGATAGAACATGAAAAATCATTCATAATAAATGATAAATAATTACTTGAGATGTTAATGCATTTCAGATATTCAGCTTCACGGTATAATCCATAAGCCTATCTGCCAAAGCATACGACTTCTGAAGCGTGACACTTCTGTGAAAAAATGCACATGCATGTCATCAGATTGTTAGTATACAGCCAATCATTGAAATCTCTATATCTCCGTAAATCCATTAAATTTAACATTCGTACAGATGATTCACTTAAAGTATTTTCGATCATGATGTGCTGTTCATTCGCGAAGTTAGTGTAGTCTTTGCGTGCTTTAAACGCAATCCAATCCAAAGATTAAACATTTATTCATTGAGCTGAGCAATGAGAACTCATTGCTTTGCCTGTCACGCAAAGACAGTAATTAATAAAAATAAATTTATGGCACACTAGTCACCGCATAAACTTGCCAACTACGTGCTAATTAATATAACGAAAGGCCGCAAACTTGACTGCCATGACTCTTGACCGGTGACATGTCGGCATTGCTTATCGGTCGCTTTGTCGTGGAGTTTGCTAGACCCACGCAGCAGAAGCCTATAGGTGATATTCCGCGCGATCGAGGACGATGCAGCCCGTTAAAACTTCAGCGGATGAATCATTCGTTCTTGCGGATCATTGTACACTGTTCGTCCAGTATTCATTCGCACGAACTCTGTTAGACGTTGGCCTATTTTTATCAGAGCGGATTTAGTTGTTTTGTTGGCTCAACTTTATACTTGCGTCCTTCATTGAAAAAGTGTTGTTCATTTTTGAAAGACTTTGATTTATACACGATCTCTTTATTTTGCTCGTGCTTAGATCCGCGCCACATCGTTTTATTTCTGAGCGCGCTTCCCTTTCAACAGAATCGGAAGACCGTTTCTACCCGAGACAAGATGTTGCGAATAAAAATATTCGTGATATAAAATTGGATAAACATCGGGTCAATTGATCATTTACTTTACAGAGATGCAGTCGTGAGCGCACTCGTATTGACGTTTGTCGAAATTATTCGGAGAGCGTTTTTCGCAAAAGAAATCTCTACGATTGTTTAACAACGCCTTTCGTGATGAACACGGCATATACAGTCTGTCAAAGCCAAGGCAACTCCGAAGCGCGACTTCGTTGGTGGACCCAGATATTTGGTCGAAAGCACCGTTATACCTACTACATCCGTTCAGCTGTTGCTATAGTACAGTGCAAAGAAAAGCTACACAGAAAGGAAGAGAAGGCATTGTAGCAGCTGCCGTCTCGCCTGCGTAGCCAAATTCTTCAATAGACGTCGATTTTACACATGTTTGAATATTTTACTGCAACGACTTTTTCGGCAAGCAACGTAGAATAACCGCCCAATTTTTGCTGATTATCACTCGAACTCTTTATTCAATGCAATCCTTTTATTTTTATTTCATTTTTTTCCAGTAAACTACGTAATTAATATCCTTCTTTTTTCGATTTAATATAAACTATGTGGTTTAATTGCGGTTAGACATTATTAAATCTCTTCTATATAGAACTTGAGAACACTGGTCACTACGCAATGCCTGCCGCCAACTGCAATGTTCTTGAATATTTTAAAGTTTTTCAAATATATATTATGATGCACAACATTAGTGGAGAATATTAAAACTTGAGAACGCATTCAATGCGTATAAAATCAGAGATAATGTCAATCGAAGATAGATTTGAAAAATAAATGGCGGAAAAATTGTTTTCCGTCAATTTATCTTGTATGTATAAACTTGATTAGATTTTATGGTAGTCTAATTATTTTATAACATTCAGTCATTTTTGTATGATTAGTCTCAGTGTCCCATTATTTAATGCATTGGTGACTTTATTAAGACAAATAGTTGTCATTTACATAATCAAAGATACGACAACTAATTCATAGATAAATACATTTATTCTCGTTTAATAAAAATACTTGTATTATCTGATATCGTAAGTGTATCTGATATGTATGTATCATTTGTGAGTGACATTTTAAATTTGTTCAAGGTGAATATGTTCAATAATTAAACAACAACTTTCAAATATAGTTCTATAGATTCACTAAGTGCAAACTCGCTCCGGTTTCCTCGATGAAACTTATAAATACAGGCTTGAATTTCTAAACAGAATTCGTAACCTGTACATATATATATGAGTTCGTCGTACTTGAAGTCTCCAACGTTTCATTAGTCAGCTCTCGCGCATTTAACGTGTATTTTCCTAGATCGTACAGGTAAAGGTAAAACTGCGTGGCTGATTCATCGTTACACTAGCAAAGTTCATGTCTATATCTATATCTAACACGACTCTATGCCATGGTCGATTTTTTACTTTTGACGTAGCAGCTAAATCCGCAGCGTCTAAATTACTTGTAATCGCTCAATATCCTCTCATAATTAATTTCTCTGTGCTGTGGACAAAACACGAAGCGCGCGACCTACGTGACATTACATACTTGCAAACTTATTCATATGCTTATATCTAGCCGAGCTCTTTTTCCGTGATCGTCTGCATAGGCTTTCACTAGATATCAATTATTCCACTTTATGCTCACTGACGTGTAATTGCACGTGTTAAAATCCAGTTATCGAGGCGGCACAGTGAAATTATTGTTTAATATGTATATTCAGATATTTATATTCTTTTTTGACCATTTTAATTGTTGAGTTGAATGTCTGATTAGCTAAACATTTTATAAGTGATAAACAATTGACACTCAATTCATCGGTGGCACATGTTCATGGTTTTAATTAAATTACGATAAAAATAATTAAATTTATCTTTATTTGTCAACTAAAGGTATATACTCAAATAGAAAAGGAAAGCGCATTAAATTACATACGAAGAAAAATTGACAAAGAAATCATGTATAGAAATTCCAGGAACGCTTCCAGAAATTCTTGGTTATAGAACCTAAGCGGACATCTTTATTCTAGTCAAATTTATAACATTTTTTCTGTGTGGTACCGATTTGAAAAGAAAAATGGCTAAACCTTTTCTACATTGTAGAAATAGTAGCATTGCTTTCGCGACTTCGTAAAGTGGAAAATACATATACGTAATAGGCATTTATGTGGAAGGACATGCGAGAATGAACGAGAAAACCACGCGTTTCAAAGATCACTGGAATGCATACACGTGCATTACCTCGTCATGTATTATGCAATTTTTACTTTTCAGAGAGCGAGTTGATACTTCTTCTATTTAAGAGAATAAATAAATATACAGCGTATATCAGTTCTGAATTTTAGATGTAATACTTAATACTTCATTTCAGTAATGAGATGGCCAATAGTAATTTCGCGAAACCACGAGAAAATGTGGCGGGTAAACGTGTACTTGATTCACGGCGTATCTTTACATCAGCGAATGAGGCGCCAAAGCGCGAGTTCGAACGGCAAAACGGTTCGCTATTGGCTGGTGGCGCGTTAGTCGTTATCGACCGAATGTTCGAGAAGCGTCGTGGTGGGGAGGCCATATATGCCGCCCGCCGTCGCGCCGCGCCTCACTCACGTTGCGAATCGTTACACTGAAGACTTCTTCATTTCTTACGACCGTCAAGTCGTCCACGCTTTTTACTACTTATTATCAGGTATATTAAACTTCACTTTTTATCGAAATTATAAAATCGTGGTTTTTCTTACTTTTTTTATCGAGTCAATCCAAGGGGTATTTCGTTGCTATATTTGAAAAATTGACTGTGATAGTGCTCAACAAAAAAATCAATGGCCGCGAGCGCGCGTGAGAACAACGGATGGTAGACATTTTTCTTTTGTGTTAAAGATGTTACAGACCACGAGAATTTGTTAATTGATTACACGAGATTTTGTTTCGAAATTATTTAAATATGAAATAGTTGAAAATCATTGAGGTACAATTAGCGAAAAATAATCGCCAATGCAGCTACGAAGTGAAAATTTTTAATATTCCGCTTGTCATTTGAGAGTATTTCATATCAATTCACCTCGACCATCTCTAAACTATATAATCTAATAAAATTGTAGTATAAATTTAAATAACGTGAAAATTTGTCTAAAAGAAATAGTAACAATATTTTATTTCATCCAACATTTTACTTTTACAGACTGAACATTAGCAGCTAAAATGGACAAGAAAGCACCTGCAGTTGGTATTGATCTTGGCACGACCTATTCTTGTGTCGGAGTGTTCCAGCATGGAAAGGTCGAAATTATCGCTAACGACCAGGGTAATCGCACTACCCCTAGTTACGTGGCCTTCACAGACACTGAGCGTCTTATCGGTGATGCCGCCAAGAACCAGGTCGCGATGAATCCCAACAACACCATCTTTGGTAAGCTATGCCATAAAAAATTCCTATTATTCATATTGATGAGTTCCGAAATCGCGATTGTTCATGGTCCCCTTTCCGGTTTGTATTAGAATGACGCAAATATCGTCAGTTGTAATGAAAATTCACTTGAATACAGCGCATGTGACACGTGCGATGACTCATCGGTTTTACGAGGTTGTCCATTTTGAAAGCAGCATTTTGGGTTGTGTATCGTTTTTTATTGGTCCCTTTTTCTTTTTTTTTTATCAATTATTTTGAACCATTACCTGCTGTTGTGACTATTTGTTTCTATGAAATGTACACTTTATTTAAAAAAAAAATTAATTCAATTCCAATTAGATAAACAAGCAATATTCCACTTTCTTTTCTGTTTTACAGGAACTCAAAGTTTAAACTTATAATTTGTTATTTTATTTTGTGCATCGTAATTTTGTCTCTCTTTTGATATTGTAATTCATGTCCAATATTTATTAACTGTTTCGGTGAAAAAATATTTAATATTTCATTACAAATAACTTTATATTTTTGGAAAATTTGTAAAATGTTTTATCATAAATGATCAGTAAGAACAATTACTTTATGATTTTTGTAATTAATCTAATAAGTTGAAATCAAATTTTTTAAATTATTTTAAGTTTTCTAATATTCAATATTAAATTAGCTTAATGAATGAAATACTTTGTTGAATTCCTAGGATAAATTAATAATAGATTATTATTGCAGATGCCAAGCGTCTCATTGGACGTCGCTTTGAGGATACCACTGTCCAGGCTGACATGAAACATTGGCCGTTTGAAGTCATCAGTGATGGTGGCAAGCCGAAAATCCGTGTACAGTACAAAGGAGAATCGAAGACTTTCTTCCCAGAAGAGGTGAGCTCGATGGTGTTGGTGAAGATGAAGGAAACCGCTGAGGCCTACCTCGGTATGACTGTCAGCAACGCTGTCATCACTGTGCCCGCCTACTTCAACGACTCACAGCGTCAGGCAACCAAGGACGCTGGTACCATCTCGGGCTTGAATGTGTTGCGTATTATCAACGAGCCCACTGCAGCCGCCATCGCCTATGGTCTCGACAAGAAGGCCACCGGCGAGCGCAACGTCCTTATTTTCGATCTGGGCGGTGGCACCTTCGACGTGTCGATTCTGACCATCGAGGACGGCATCTTCGAAGTCAAGTCTACGGCTGGTGACACTCACTTGGGTGGTGAGGACTTTGACAACCGCATGGTTAATCACTTCGTGCAAGAGTTCAAGCGTAAATACAAAAAGGAACTCACCGCCAATAAGCGTGCCCTACGTCGTCTGCGCACAGCCTGTGAGCGTGCGAAGCGCACTCTCTCATCGTCCACCCAGGCTAGCATCGAGATCGACTCATTGTACGAGGGCATCGACTTCTATACCTCCATCACCAGAGCTCGATTCGAAGAGCTATGCGCTGATCTCTTCCGTGGCACTCTTGAACCGGTCGAAAAGTCTCTCCGCGATGCTAAGATGGACAAGGCCCAGATCCACGACATCGTCCTCGTCGGTGGTTCTACTAGAATCCCTAAGATCCAAAAGCTCTTGCAAGACTTCTTCAATGGCAAAGAGCTTAATAAGTCCATCAACCCCGACGAGGCTGTCGCCTACGGAGCAGCCGTTCAGGCCGCTATCCTCCATGGCGACAAATCCGAGGAAGTGCAGGACTTGCTGCTTCTCGATGTCACCCCGCTGTCCTTGGGTATTGAGACTGCTGGCGGTGTTATGACCGCACTCATCAAGAGGAACACCACCATCCCCACCAAGCAGACCCAGACCTTCACCACTTACGCCGATAACCAGCCCGGCGTACTGATCCAAGTCTACGAGGGTGAGCGTGCCATGACCAAGGACAATAACCTCCTCGGCAAATTCGAGCTAAGTGGCATTCTACCTGCGCCGCGCGGTGTGCCCCAGATTGAGGTCACTTTCGACATTGACGCCAACGGCATTCTCAACGTCTCAGCCATTGACAAGTCTACCGGAAAGGAGAACAAAATCACTATTACTAATGACAAGGGACGCTTAAGCAAAGAAGATATTGAACGCATGGTCAACGAGGCTGAGAAATATAGAAGCGAAGACGAGAAGCAAAAGGAGACCATCTCTGCCAAAAACGGCCTGGAGTCCTACTGCTTCAACATGAAAAGTGCCGTCGAAGACGAGAAGATCAAGGATAAGCTTAGCGCCAGCGACAAACAAATCGTCCTCGACAAGTGCAACGAGATCATCAAGTGGCTCGATGCCAACCAGCTCGCCGACAAGGAAGAGTATGAACACAAGCAAAAGGAGCTTGAATCCATCTGCAATCCCATTGTCACCAAGATGTATCAAGGTGTTGGTGGCGCAGCTGGCATGCCTGGCGGTATGCCTGGCTTCCCTGGTGCTGCTGGAGCGCCCGGAGCTGGTGGCGCTGCGCCGGGTGGTGGACCCGCTGGTGGTCCCACTATTGAAGAGGTCGACTAAGCTGTTTGATACATCTTCAACGACTGCACTTCTTCGTTCTGAAGAGAAAGTCGCCATGCCGTACAGAGAGAAGAATGGAAAATAAAAATTTAGAATGTTGTTTGTAACGAAGCATTTTCTTGTTTCTAATCCTAAGCGTTTGTAATAAAGTTAAGACTTTACACGCAATCAATATTCCTGAGAAGTAGGTTTAATGAATAATGTTCTACGTTTTTATTTTGTCTTTATTTCTTTCTTTTTTTCTATAATACAAATAAAACATGTAATAGTACAATTTTAAACAGCTAATTCCAACTTTATATTCCAAATAAAACCACCAAATTTCTTTTCAATGACGTTTTATTGCCTTATTTTCCCCCCTTCTCTTTTAAATTCATTAAATCTGGTCATTTCAAAATAAGTTTGTAATTTGAATAATTAGTATTTATAACTAGAAAGGAAATTTCCATCATGCTTCAAATATTATTTAAAGATAAAGTATAATCAAGTTTATTTTATTTTCAAAATAAACTAGTATTTTTGGATAGACAGTTTAATTTCTCAGATGAATCAGCTTTTTAGATTTTAACTTTATTAAAATGAAAAATAAAATAGGATGTTAGATCAGTAAACAAACATACTCTGCATGATTTTATTTATTTTCAAATGTAATTAAATTTTGTTCAAAACAAAATAACATAATATATACATAAATGGATACTCGAGTAATGCTCGTGTAACTTGTCATTAAATTAATTAATTAAATCTTGAGTTTAATAAATTTTTTATTACCATTCGTCGAAAGAAAGTAGAAAGCAAAACAAAATTGTATAATGCGAAAAAACGTAGAAAAAAAGCTAGGACGTCCGAGCCATATTGGTTGTGAATAAGACTGTTGATTTTCCTTTTTTCTTTTTCTTTTTACCTGTGGCTACGCTGTCATTCGATCTACCTCCGCAATTCAACATATTTGAATTTTCAAATGCTTTGGCCACGACTTCTCCTAGACTTTGATTATAAACTGGAGCTACATATTCCTCTAATTCAGAATCAATGGGATCGGCTTTAGTTCTTTGACTATCAGCATTTGATTCGTTCGACTCGAAGTTTCTTGAAGTGCCTCGAGACGGCCATGCAACTGATTTATTTGTTGAAGTGGTTTGCACCATTTGGGCAAATGATCGTCCGCAATTAGTTGGTATTGGTCTATCGTCATCTTTAAATAACATGTCATCAGATGAGCAAATTGACGGACTGCTTGCGAGACTCGAAGCTACAACTGATTCTGGAGGTGATACTGTATCAATTCTAGAAATTTAGTAAAGCAAACATTAGCACTGGTTGTTTTGTTTTTTATAAATACATTTTTGGCTTTGTAATCAGGTAAATTTATTTACTCAGATATATCAGGGTTGAATTGCGGGAAATGTTTGCGAGAATCGATATGAACCTTTGGAATTGGATATTTTCCCATGAGTTTGTTTTCTTCCTCTGTGATTTTTTTCTCGCGCTTTCTTTCATCTCTTTCACGACGCTTTCTTTTCTTCTGTCGAGAAAGAATTTGACCTAACAAGAAAATAATAGAATTTAATTTACAAAGACGATGAAAAAATGTGCTAATTAATATAATTGTTAACAAAGCTCACCTTCAAAATACGCAATAACATTTTCAGATACAGTCGGAGGCTGTAAATCAATTTCGATTATTTCAAAAACGCTGGTTAAAGGTAGATGACGTAGGTATCGCATTCGACTTCTCAATTCTTCAGTATAGCTACCAACTTCTCTTTCAATTAGTTTTCCCGAAATCAATCGTGGACATTTTTCTAAGCTGCCATATTGCATCTCCAACATTTTGATGTTCATTACATGGAGATAAACATTTTGTTTACCTTCGGCTAAAAATTGATATGAATATATAAGTTACGAAATATATTTAACAGAAATTAATTCAAACTTAATCTAAAAATATACCTTGGTAGAAATAATAAAATTCCTGTGAGCTTGTTGAAGGTTCTATGTCATTCCCATTGTCACTCAAGTTATAATTTGATTGTCCATTCAAATCGCTATTATTCACTAGATTCAAATCATTGTTTTTATTTTTAGGACTTTCTTCTTTGGGAGACAAAAGGGTTTCTGGACTTTTCATCTTAACATTTTCTGTAGAAGCTACAGATTTTTCAGAATCTAATTCTGTAATGCCCTAAAATAGTCAAAATAATATGTATATAGTTATAAGATGCAATTTAAGTAAAAATTAATCAAGAACAGAAAAGTATACCTTCAGTAACAAATTATTTCTAAGAGACAATTCAACGAGAGCTTGTTCAATAAAATAATTTTCAGGAGAATTTGGATCTTCCAAAAGTTCATATTGTAAATGAGCGCCTTCTGCTTCGATTATATTAATAATCTACAATAAACCATTTATTTTGTTATACAAAATAAATGAATCAATGCGTACCAAATTGACAATTTCAGAGAAAGGGTTTGAAAACTCACATCATTATCATTAGCTAACAGTAATTTTGAATAAACTTGTTGGCAAGAATTTTCAGCAACAGATAAAAATGTAGTTGGTGGGCAAGCTTCAATATCTGAAACTGGTACTGCAAGCATTGATCCCTTTTGGCGTCGCATCAATCGAAGGGTAATGTGGTCTCCAATGTTTAAACTATTTTCTGTTATTTCAACAACACTGAAAATTGAAATAAATGAATTATCATGTATAACTTTAAACTACTACTTGTAGATTGATTATTTACCTTTTCAAGTCAGATTTTTGGATAGATTCATAACATATAGGACATTTACGCTGCTTGTCAGATAGAGCTAAATAATGAAGAATGCATGGCCAACAGTAAACATGACCACAGCGTGTCATTTTTCCAGCAACAGGTGGACATAGGCATATAGGACAAGACAGATTTTCAGAGCTATAAACTCGCTGTAAATAGCAAAAGAAACATTAATATAAAAGTTACACATTTTCTAAACAATAATGACATATTAATAAATACAATTTGTTGCACTAATTTCCAGTCAACCAATATATCTGGATTATTCAAGTAAAGAGAGTAATCTCCCTTGGCAGTAACAACAAATTGGCAGCTAAAGACAAATTACAAATTATTTTAATATTTTTATATTATTGTTAAAAAAAACCTATTTCAATGGTTTGACTTACTTAGCTTGTAAAAATTGTTCTTTGTTATACTTGTGTCGATGAACTGCTGGAAGCCAGCGATTATTGTGACTGCTATAGCCATTTCTTCCACGATTCCATCCACTTTGCACATCACGGGATGGATAATGAAAATTTAGCAGATGATTCAAGTTCTGCTTTTTACTTCCTTGGACCATTACTGAGCCAAGCTCAGCTGATTCATCTTCAACTACCTATAATTAGCAAATATAAGTTTTTTTATGTGTTATCTAAAAAAGTAAATGTCAACATACCTTGGAATCCTCCTTTGAACTGCCATGATAATATCCTTTAGGTTTTGGTCTCTTATCAAAATTTTTTGTTTTCTGTGCATTGGACTTCCTCTGCTGATCATATTTGGGATAACTATTTGTGCCAGTTGGTTCTCGCTTACGCGATGATTTTGGAAAAAGCTTAGAAGAGCTGACATCTGAAAAATAAAATACATGGGTAACGTAATGCATAAAATTCAAAATAAATTCAATCACAATGGATATTTAACTTTAATTTTAACAATTAATGAAAGAATTATTTTGATAAAGTAATTTATCAAAATAAAGATAATTTAACATTCAAGCATTTTATACAGTTTATATTTATATGTAAGCAGTACGTATAAATATACACTACATACACTTAACAATAAATTAACTATTTATATCGCGCTTGTTGTACTATGTATGAATTTCTTGTTAGCATTGAATACTATAGACAAATATAATCTCGCAACCTTCACAGTTAAAAAGTAAAGTCAAGAAGTTTATTACTATGAATATACCAAAAGCCAGGTATCATAATTGCAACTAAAGAAAATAACATGGTTTCTGATCAGGCAAAAAAAACCATTAACAAAAACAAAAGTTCAAAGAAAGTTGGAAAAGCTAAATAGATGGTGCTAGTTACAATTAAGTATCAGAAAGTAATTTCGAGATGCTTGGTTGTGACGTTTAAGAAATGGCGAGAGCTGCGAGCAAACAGAGCACAAACATAAAGAATAAAATGGTTCACCTGAACCTGGACTTTTCTTAGAATCAGTAGCAGTCGCCTTGAGGTTTGGCTGTTGATATTTGCTCTTCTTGTCCATGATAATAAAAGTATGAAGCTGTAGCTGTTGCGTAGAAATATCCTGGTCGGCTAATTCGGCCGTCTTTACCGTCGCGAACGATGAATGCGTGGTGGTGGTGGTCCCCTCCGTATGGAGAAACGTATTCTTGCTGCAGACCCTTCATCTTCTTCAGTAAGCCATGTTCATCAACAGTGCCGAAATGAGTCTTGATCAAAAGATCTTCCGTTGTCAAGTTAATTCGCGAGCGAATAAAAGTGAGAATCGAAGAGAGATAAAGTGTTGCCGAGTGTCCCCGCGATGGAACGATCGCGGTGCACGTTCTCACACTTTAACAGGCACTCGATTAAACTCGCGCGCTCTATTCGGGAAGTTGAGGATTTAAGGCTCTACGGAGAGAGCCTCCGGGTCGCCGATTTATTCGACGAAAGGATGGAAGAAAAAGCTAGCGTGGATTATCACCACGCAAAAAAACAGACGGCCACTCACAGATCTCGTCGCTGTGATGGCGACGATAATAATGACGACAGTGCTTTTCCGTGGTCATACTGAATCCCGGCCAAGCCAAGACGAGCACTTGTGTATCGTGCTATAATTTTTCTGTCATAATACTGATTTCTATTAATTTTTATTTCATTTTGTTATCGCTTAATTGGTTAAACTAACTAAATACCCATGATTTTATTAAAAATTTAAATTTGTTATGAGTTTGAAGCGAAAATGTTGATCGGTCAACAAATTGTATTTTGTAAACTCAACTAATTTTTTTACACTGTTGTAAAAGCTCCGAATGACATGTCAGTAACGTTCAAGACAAACGAAGTCAAAATCTGCCTCTACATATTCAGAAATAATAATTTTTTACTTTGTAGGCAACATTTTGATAATAGTTGTGATTATTTTTCCAACAAATATTTGTTGCCGATCTTTTAATACAGTCTGATCATTCGAGCAAGATGCTCGTTTGATTTAGGACGTTTTGTTTGTAACAAAATGTATGTTTTTAAATATTCAACTGCTGTGCAAAAGTGAATCAATAAAGTAAAGTTATATTCATCAACAATAGTGTAAAAAATAAATAAAATATGAATTATTTATTATGATATGTACATCACAAGGTATGATTATTTTTTTATATATCTCTATTTCAACTTAAATATATTTTATATTTTAATCAGATCCACGTGCATAAAAATATCAGAAACACAACCAGCAAGAATGTTTTAGAAACATTATTGCAACATATTTTCTTGCGATATCTCCAACATTTTCGGTAATTAACAAAAATATTGCAGAAACGTGCAAAATGTCGGCCTTCATTTCCGGAATAATGTTACCAAATGTTTTTGGAATATTAGTTATTTACTAAAATGTTACAGAAATGTTGCACAGATTGTTTCCAAATATGAAAAACTATAACTAATATTTCAGAAACGTTATTCTGGAAACAAAGGTGGACATTTTGTAAATTCTGGTAACGGTTCTGCAACATTTTTTCGGATGAGGGAAAGGTTAGTATGTTGAATAAGTGTGAGTGCAAAAAACATTTTGGAAACAATTCTCGCGGCTCGGGATATCATATTTGATGATTACCATTATTTCTTCTGTAATTATTCAAAATTTGTATTTTAGGTGCTATTTTATAGACTAAAATTAAAATATGATAACTAGAAACTTAAACTTTTCAATTATCTGTGTTCTGTTATTAGGATCTTTTGTAATTGCATTAGGTAAGCATTTATAAGACATTATGAGACTGTTTATAATATCTTAAGGTATATTTCTTAAATTTTTATGTCATATTTGCAGAACCAGCTGATTTATTAATAATAATTTTGAGTCAGGAAGAAGGATACAATGCTGCACAAGCTAAGCTTTTACAGTCTGAAATTATCAAACAAGCAAATACATTGGAAAAGGTATAAATTTTATCTCTTAGAGTAATTTTTATGTATTTCTACTTTTAAAATAATATTTTATTTTCATTTGCTTTATAGAAACCTCCACAAATTATTCTAACTCATACTCTAGATATTTATGGATCATGGACCATAGTACCAATTATTGCATATTTAAATGATAAAAATATTGTAGGTGATTGGTATGTTTTTTGTGCAGATAATACAGCTATACGTTTGACTAGGCTTTTATATGTTTTAAATAGTTATGATGTAAATATATATAAGGTAAATTTATTTATTATGTATATTTTTTATGGAAGAGTTTAAACTTTGAAATTTTATTTCTCTGATTGTTTATGTTTTACAGAATTTGTGGATAGGATATGCTTTATATGATAAGGAGCCAACTATTATACACCATTATGCAGAACACACCAAAAAATTCAAATATCCAAACTTAGCCTCTGGCTTTGCCATATCAAAATATTTATTGAAGAGGTAATAACTTAAATTGATAAATTCAAATTTTAGCTAATTGTTTGTTCAACCTTTCTATTGCAGCTTAAGCAATAAGGCTAGTGAATTTGTAGCTAGTAATGTAGACTTTTCTGTAGATGCATCATATGAATTATCTACTTTTATTTATAATAAAGGTAAAGGTGCTCGATTAACTCATGTACCAGAATTTTGTGTAGTTTCTAATGATAACTGTGCTACATATCCTAAACCATTCTATCCATGTGTAAGTTTCAAAATTAATCAATATTTTGATGGCACATATAAACTGTATTGCATTGCAGGCAAAATTATCACCTTATCAAAATGCATATGTTGCTGTGAAAACCTGTGCTAAGTATCACAATGACAGGCTGCCTATTATTCGCAATACTTGGGCAAAATATGCTCAAAATATTGGATATTTTACTGATTGCTTAGGTAAAGATTAATGAATAAAATTATTCTGCTTTAATTATACAAAATTAATTATTTTGAAGATATTTTTTTCAGATGTAAACTTACAGGATGGTCATGTTGTACCCAGTACTGAGCAAGGGCATTGTGCAAAAACCTATGCAATATTACAATATGCAGCTCCCATACTTCAAGAAAAAAATCTAGGTTGGCTTATAATTACAGATGATGATACCATATTAAGGTGATTATTTTCATCAATTTCGTAATGTAACATTTCTCATAATTATTAAAATGTATTTTAGCTTGGGACGACTAATGAAACTACTTACTTGTTATATTCCTGAGAATACTGTGGCATTAGGTGAGAGGTATGGATATCGTACAACAAAGATTCATGGTTATGACTACTTAACTGGAGGAGCTGGATTAGTTTTATCAACTCCTTTAGTAGAACAAATTATAAAACCAGGAGTATGTGAATGTCCTAGTGCAAATACTCCTGATGATATGTTTCTTTTTGGAGTTTGCTTAGCACATTTAGGAGTAAAAGTCACACATTCTCCATTATTTCATCAAGTGAATAGACTGTCTCTCAATGATATATATAACATACATTTTCTTATAAAAGTCTAATAAACTTATACATTTATTTTAGGCAAGGCCTATTGATTATGCAACTGGCTACTTAGATTCTCAAGAGCCAATATCATTTCATAAATTTTGGATGATAGATCATCCAGAACTTTTGTATAAAGAATGGTTTGAAGAAGCTGACAAGACTGCATTAATATTACAAAATGAAATTAAGCACGAGGAATTATAAATTTAACTTGCACCAACTATAAATGATTGTGATATTTTAAATAGCATAGAGATTATTTCAGTGATGTTTGAATGTTTAATTTTCACAATGGAATTGAAAATCAAATGGGAACAGTATTTAAGTAGGATAAAAAAGCAATTACTCATAAAATTCCATGACTGCTGATATTTAAAATATGAAACTTATATTTAAAGCTTTATATAAATCACCATTTGTAAACATGTACAAATTACAACAGAATGTATAAATACTTTTTTAAAATCTTTGTAAATTTTTAATAAAATACCATTGAGTTTATTCATTATTACGGATCCATTGCACCAATTATATCACAATTTAGATTGCATGATTTCCTTCCACCATGTGGGTCGCTCAAAACACTCGGGATCTTTACGGAAAGCTTCTTCTAAATGCTTATAAATCTAAAAATATATAACGCAATTATTTTCAGTTACTATTAACAAATAAACAATGACGAATGGTAGTTTCAATTTACATTTCCATCAGACATCCCTAATGGCGAGTTTAGAACAAAGTCTGGTGGAGCCAAAACATCAACTAAACTCACAGCTTCATTTACTAGTTCTTTACATAATCGTATTATACCCGTACGTATTAAATAATCCATTTTACTGACAGGAGTTGCAAATCCTCCTGCATAAAAATCACCTAATTTTTTTTCAATATTCACAGCGGCATACAATGAACATAACTTATTAAGAACTGCTCTTTCATTATCAAGATATCTTGAGTCATTATTGTTTTCAATAAATTGTTTTGTCACGGCATGCTGAAAAATTTTTATGAAACAGGCAAATTTTTGTAAGTTTAGAGCCTCTTTGAAAAAAGTAAATAAAAAATTTTACCTCTCCATACACCAATGTCAAAGTTCGAGCGTTGAAAAGCTGCGAGTCATTACGCACAACAAAGTCACTACATCCCTTTTCCTTTAATGATTGTACAACTTCGTAAGTTTTTTTCATGTAATAACATATGAGCCATTTCAAGCAGATTAACAAATCTAAAATAATTAATGAAATGAATAAACCATGAATTTTAATAATTATGCACTGTCTTGATAATCGGTTGTCTTACTTTCTGGTCCCATTGCTTCATCGACAGTTTGATAGCTAAACTTTAGCTTCAGAATGTGATTCACGTCCTCTAAAAAATTAATTGTTGCAAGTGGCGACGCTACTTTTTTACCTTTGAGAACTGCCAAATACTGGTTCAATAACCAATTACTACATTGTTGAATAAGTACGTTACTTTCTCCTTCGTAAGTACAGTTAGCATCGTGTTCTTGCCTTAGAGTACCTATTCTAGAAACTAAACCAAACAAATGATTTAATGTTTTAGAAGAAAATCTAGCATCTATACGAATTATCATTATACCTTTTAAATATCCATGCCCACCGCAAGATTCACGGCAATCTTGTATCGCTGCACTACCAGTCCACGCGCAAAGTGGTTTCGCAGCTGAAGATAGCGCGTGAATTTCCATACCCATCGATGCCATTGTATCATTGCTATTGCCTGATAATAAAAGATCTTGGAACTTCTGGAATGTCATCATGAAGTTCGTGGAGAATATCTTCATTGCGTAGGCATCAGCTACATGTGGTATCAGTCTACCTTGCTGAACTTGATACTCGATAACAGGCCATTCTTCTTGAGGATTTGGCCCAAATTGTTTTCTGGAAGCGCAATATCTGACAGCAATAATCACAGCTAAGGAGGTGTACATCGAACACATGGAAGTAATGGTCACGCGACCAGCCGACAATGCTCCTAACGAGGCACCTTGAATTCAATTCAAATTTTAACTGTAAATTCTGCTATAGAAACTGAAAATATTTGTACTAAAATGGAAGCTCACCGAATCGTTTGCTCTGATCTTTGATAGCAGCTAGGTATTTTCCGTCGGGTGTCACGTCTGCTGTCTTGTTGAGCAGAGCCGTCCTCGGAATATGGTAATGGTTGAACAAAACGAAACCATTGTCAACTCCATTCAATGCTATTTTTTCTCCCAAATCTCCAACTGTCACACCTTTTGGGGGTAGATGTGTGCTGGGCTCGCGGACTTTAACGACGAAAGGATGCAGTCCATGATTTTTACCATCTGGAGTTATCAGCTGAGCATAAACGATAGCGTGCGTTGCAGTTTTGCCTATAAATATCGCAGAGCTCTTGTCGAACAAAACTTTTGAATTGATCTGGTGGCGAACGAAACGTTATGAACGTACCTAGACCACCAACCCAACACTTGGCCGCTTCAAAGTCAGGAGTATGCAATATGAAAGTTTGAGTTTTCGGATCGTACCTGGCTTCTGTTCGCATACCCTTAGCATTGGTACCGTGCGCGATTTCGGTCAAAGCAAAGCACCCGGCGAACTAGACAGTTATCAACGTTTCTGTGGAAATGTGCACCGTGTTTGTCGGCGATACGTTAGATGTATGCTTACTTGTCCTTTGGCCATGTCCTCGAGGTAATCGAGATGTCGTTCAGTGCCCAAAGAGATCAAGACACTCGGTACCATCCCGTAAATGACGCCCATTTTGATGGGTGCCGAAGGGTCATAATAAAACAAATAGTTGAACCATTCTCGTCTTTCACTAGGCTATCAAATTGATTACTTAGTTGAGTAAAGTCTCGCTTCTTCTGACATTTCGTGCGACCGACTTACCAAAACGTCATTTTCTACTATAGCCTTTATTTGCGCGTTGGCTCTTCTTCTCGATTCGTCTAACGTCAACGATTTGGTTGGCTGCTCGAACGCTGGACTTTTTTCCATGAAATCCCACATCTTATTCTACAAAATAACATTCGAAATTTGGTCAAGTCACTCCACAAAATTCCGTCAAAATAATCGACTGATCGCCGAGAAATTGTACGATAAGCTTTAACAAATAACACACTTATAAGATAAAAGAAACGGTTAAATGTGGCTGCTGATCACGCACAAACACGTTACGTAAACAGCTCAAATATATAATGTTTATTCAGTCAGGGCACAAATTATAGTACTCCAGCTAAAAAATGCTCGATGTTCCAGTAGCTCGCTACAAGCAGCTAATTCAAATCAACCGAGATAAGCGTTTGTCTTTGCTGTTTGGATAGGTACGTCGCGGTAGTTCAAATATATAGAAAAATACGCGCCTTTTACCGTCGACCCGCCGCTTCCCAACTTTCACTCGATGAAACAACTCGACATACTCACTTGAAATCGAATGGTATCCTCGCCCTCCAAATGTAATTTCAATAATTTCCAGTCGAAACTGGCTTTTTTGCGATAGACATCCAGTGGGCCTCTGGCCGTATCTCGTATAAAGTCTGTCATCGTGGTCAGACGTCTCGGACTAAACCTGCAAACGACTCACGGTTATCAGGCGTCTTTTTTTATCGTCACATTGGCAAACCGTATGCTTATTGTTATATGACGAATCGTGTAACAAATTGTTCACCGCATCGTCGGAAAAATGAGCTCGGACTGCTTGATTTGGCCGGAGCGTATAGTGCATCGGAATTGCTGCTTGCGCAACGTGAATTGGTGTTTTTCAAATGCTACTCACAACGGCTCGTAGCGCACCGGCCGACGTATCGAGTTGAGGCTGTCTCGAGCCGGACTGACAACCAGTTCTACTCTTTATCTTACGAGTTCGCTGCGTCACGACTATCTGCATTTTCTTGATCGACCAATATCTTCCTTGATACCCCCCTCCCCCCTCACCCTCCTTTTTCCAGACGTTCGCTACTTTCGTTTCGTGTTTCATCATCTAAATCGAAACATCATCGTTTGCCGTAAAAAATCCCGATTTCTCGAGAATCACATCGACATTAAGGAAAATTAGCCTTCACCGACGAACAATAGGGCAGTTAAATTGAACGCGACCAAATGATTTATAGGCAAATGAGGCCATGGAAGAATACAGTGCCTGACACTCTCTAAATAAAAAATTGATCGACCTAAAAAAGCTCGAAGGCTGACCTTTTACTCCGATTCGTACAGTTGCGAATCAACGTGCAAATCGAATTCGTGCAATGTATTTTTTGAATATTTTGATCGCTTGTCTGATCTATCGTTCGTTTGCCCAGAACAAAAGGTTGTTTCTCTTAGCACATTAGACTTTAATTTGACATTTGTTGCAGACACGTTTGATCTTGTTTTAGAGTGTTTCATTCGAAATCGGATACACAATTAAAAACACTTGTCGAGCTATTGATTGACGAGGTGGCTGATAGTAGCCGATGCATCGTATCAATGGTCGACACTTATTACCGACGAAAGCTTGATCTGACCCAAATGAAAACTCATAATCCGTTGCCTGTATACACGGTAACAATCGCGAGCTTCCTTTTCTTCATTGATGTAGTAGACTTCAACAAATACAATGATAACGTTGCAGATTCTCATTCGAGAAAACGATGAATTTTCTCCACCGCGAAGACGACTCATTCGAATATTAAACGAAAGTAAATATGTAGGTTGTGACATTTACATTATACTGATGGCAAACGGTCTACAAGTTGTCGATTTTTTGCGGTACAGCGAAGAGTGAGTGTCGTTTCTTTGTTCATCGATTGTATCCGATGCGACGAAATGTGAAGCGTGAACGAAAGGGAAATGCTGTATTTGGGTTTTCAGAGAACGCCTGATCAACGCGCAAGGACAATTCGTAATAATGTATGATTTCCGAATTTTCCACACGGGCACGCGCTATCTGTGGAACCGCATAATAAACGTGGTGTTCCTGCGCCATTACGTGGAATTCAAGCGTCGATCTAACAAACAATTGCAGAAGCGCGAGTGGTACGATTTGAATACAATCCCATTTCCAGCCATTTCCAAGGGCTTCGTCGTTACCAAATACATCGACAGCTGGTATCAGAATAGATTTCGATATGGCATCAATCATTTTTTTCCGAAAACCAATGATCTGCGCAGACAAAAATTACGGTTCGTATACGACCGGCACATTTTCAAAATGGAAGCGTTCCAATTTGTTTTTAACGATTGCAGAGTTGCAGTTTTCGAGCATGTTCCCGCAGTGACGGAAGACGCAAAGACTTTTTTCCATAGTCTACAGGACGTCGTCACTACCAATAAACCTCTGGGAATTGAATTTGAAGTACGGCAAATAATAATTCAAATTAGCAGTATTTAACATGTATTTTCGCAGCGGTTGTTTTTTCTATATTTAGATGCTGTTAATCATCGCCAAAAGGTTGAATTTTCGGCCGGATTTTTATCTACCAGAAAACATTCAAAACGAGAGATGGGGAAATCTTCAAAATGACACTTTTTCGGGACTATTTGGCGAAGCCAAAGATGGAAATGCAGTGTTCTATTTGGGTGACATTCACTACAGCCAGAGGCACTTGCAAATTTTAGATTTGTCATGGCCTTATAACACAGAATGTCTTACTTTTTTAACTCTTGAATCTCTCACTGAAAACTCTTGGAAATTACTAATTTTACCATTCAGGTAGCTGTGTTTTTGTTGCTACTTCTACAATAATAATTTTCTTAAGCTCCATCACAATTGTGACTTTCTCCATTTAGATTATACACATGGGTGGCTGTCATTCTTACGTTACTGTTAGCTGCTACAGTATTTTTAAGTTTTGCATATATTTATGAAAATCACATCAATCTTGAGGATAAAACAATACCAACGATCAATTTAACAAAGAAATTTGTGAAGAACAAATGGTTTTTATCTATTGAAAAAAAACCAATAATTGAAGAATGGAAAGGTTTGTATCTGTTTGCAGACGTACACAACAGCTTTCTATACACCTACAGTATGTTGCTTCAAGTTTCTCTACCTATGTTACCAAATGCCTGGTCTATTCGTATGTTCATTGGATGGTGGTGGCTTTATACTATTTTAATTACTGTTACGTATAAAGCTAGCATGACGGCATCACTGGCTAATTCAGTTGACAGGTATAAAAGAAATATTTTATTTATAAAAATAGTACATTTAGATAACAAGAACTTCTGTCTTTTTAGAGTTGTTATTGACACTATTTCCCAATTGGTTCAATCAGATGTAACTGTAGGTAGTTGGGACAATGAAGTGAAAGATTTTTTCATGAATTCTTCAGATTCTTATTTACAAAGATTAAGCAAAAGATACACTATTGTAACTAATGAACAGGATGCAGTGGCAGGAGTTGCCAATGGATCTTTCAGTTATTACGAAAATATATACGTATTGCAAAGAGAAAGAGTAAAGAGACAGATTTTAGAAGCTGAATTACAAAAAAATGGTTCTCAAGATATGATACACAAATTTTTAGATCATAACTTGCATGTCATGGATGAATGCGTGATAAACATACCTGTATCTTTGGGAATGGATAAACATTCTCCATTAAAATATCATATTGATAGGCTTGTTAGTTTTTGTGGTCAACAGAATTATTTATAAATTAATATTGTAAATAATTGATAATTGTTTTAGGTTAAACGTGTAGTTGAAGCAGGTTTGGTTCAAAAATGGCTAAGTGATATCATTCAACAATCCAAAACTTTAGAATTAAGACAGGAAGGTTCAGCACAAAAAGCATTAATTGACCTAGATAAACTACAAGGAGCAGTAGTGGCTTTAGTGATTGGCTATTTCTTAGGTATTATTGCTCTAGGAGGCGAATTTTGGTATTGGAACAAGGTCGTTTTAAAAGATCCAAATTACAACAAATATCGTCTGGATTTATTTTATAAGAAAATATAAGATATTAGTAAACTGTGCAAATAAATTAACAGTAATTATTGTGCTTAAAAACGGTGTAATTTTTATACCAATCTTCTATTTTGTCGTTCAAGTTTTTATTTTATAAAACCAATTACTTTCTACTAAAATTTTGATAAATATTGCCTAATAGTTTTGTTCTATTTGATATCGATACCTCATTACTTCGAAGGCTATTTGTCTTATTATTATGCACTACACCAAGGTTTAGGTTATTCAATGAAGAGAAAAACAATAACACGTCACAAATTATATTTCACTCAATCTCGGACGTAAACATACTTAAATATAGGTATGACTTTCTCTTTTGGCTTTGGGCTTTGAATGGTTGTCTACCCTTATGTTTTGTTTCTGTATGGTGTAGTGGCAATATTGTGTTTAAGCAACAAGCAAAAAAATCGGCGTTGATGAAAATTCTATCGTTGTTCTCCGACATTTTTGTCGAATTTTTATAACTTTTAAACAATTTTATCCTTTCAAAAATGAATCACGTGCTCCGATTTTGACGTATATAATTCAGAAATTATATTACGTTTTTCGTGTAAGATTTAAGTGCAGCTTTGATATACACTCAGTGTTGTACATATATATTATATATACTCGTCTGTCGTAAATCCTCCACCGTCCTACCGATCCGGCAAAACTGTAAACAAACTTCCTGATTCTTACATTTCTAGCTAAGCTAATTATGATCGTTGACAATACGAATAACGTGATAGCTCAGTCAGTATACGAATACACGCTTCGACCAACCTTCAAATCTGTCGAATATCAGCATCATGCAGCAGTGAGACTATAAATCGGTACCAATCTCCATCAGCAACAGGTGGATATTTCAAATGCACATTTTCCAAGCACTATTTTACTTTGTTGTGTTCTTATGTCAGTTATTTCTTTAAAACTATCACATGTCTTCTTATTCACCTGTGGCATATACATTGTTTACAATATCGTACTATATTATTATTTACATATCGAAGTGTTAAATGTTTTAATTATTGTTGGGATATCGATTGAACAAATAAGTTCTGTGTTTTTTTTCAGTGAATTAAAAAATGGAATTTCATGATCCGTTTGAATCGTGCCCATATAATGTATTCCATAGGATTCGACGATCACGTATGCAGTTCCATGTTACAACATGCGCTCAAAATCATCGACATGTAACGGGCATGGTTCAATGCCCTTTTGATGCTCGACACGTTATCAAACATATAGAATTCGAAGTACGTTTTGTTTGTACATTTATTATGTTATCATCTTTGTGTTTTCTTTAATTTTCAATCTACTCAATGAGGGTCTTAGATTTTAAATATTCCTTTTTGATTTTTCAGCACCACAAACGTACCTGTCCAGCAAGGGCATCAGTAATAGATTATGCTATTCATGATACAGTATCTCAAGCAAAACTGAAAATCTTACCAATTGATATTAATCCTGTAGGACAATGGGATGAGAAATGGGATGATGTAAGTTATCCTTAATTAAATAGAAAATTTACACATAGCTTGTAAATATTTATATTCGCTAAAATATTGTTTTCAAATAGGATGCTGATGTTAAAACTTATAATCCTATTCAGTACATTAAAGATAAACCCATAGTATATCCTCTCATAGGAGTTTCAAAAGCTAAAAGGAAAAATCATAGATTACAAGAAAGAATTCGGTACAGCAAAGTAATAGAAAATGAAGGAGGAAATATGTCACAAAATAGATTTTACTCAAGGCAAATGGTAAATATAAATTTTATGATTATTTAGCATTTGTATAATCAGAATTGTTTCATAAATTTTGTAATTGTCAGAGTACAAACTCAGAATGGAACAGTACAATGGAAGTAGTTCATGAAATCCATGATAATACAAATGAGGTAGATTGAGTAAAATTTATTGAAAAATTAAACATATTATTTATATAATTTTATCATCCTTTGGTTTGTTTATAGGCAGAAAAACCTTTGCGTCCACCTTCTAAATTTGTTATTGCCCATCTGACTGATAAAACTTATGATGACTATACAAACCAGATTTCTACATCTCCTGTGAGCACAGCAAAAGTATTCTATTTACATTAGCCAATTTTCACAAGCTATTCTTTCTCAAATTAAAAAAGGATATTGCTTATTACAGGCTCCTGAAGTATTATCAACATCATCGAAATTTGATCAATCCTCAGTTCATTCATCTAGTTCTGGAGCAGCATCATCAAACAGTCAGGAAACATCTTGCTCAAAAAAATCATCAGAAAACCAAGGGATATTTAAAAAATCATCAAAAGCAATTGACATAAATTCTGAGAATAGTAGCAACCAGAGTGCATGTTCAATTCATAACAGAGGCAGTGTTATCTCTAATAAGGATGAGCATCAGTTTAATCAACATAAATCCAACAATAAAGAAAAGCTACCTTCTGACGCTGACAATATTGTCTTCAGTAAGAATAGTTATCAATTCATTCAGTATCGACTAACAGATCAAGAAAAGATTTCTACATCTGATATAAAGAGTATTGCCTCTAGCAAGGATAATTATGAGTTTATTCAAAATCAACTCAAGGATCAAGAAAAGTGTCCTATATTTAATATAAATAGTAGTATTTCCAGTAAAGATAATCAATTTAGTGAATATGAACTTAAAAGTCAAAAGAACTGTTCTACTCCCGATACAGACAGTATTATCTCTAGTAAAAATGATTTTTCATTAAATCAATACAAATACAAGATACAAAGAAAGTATTCTATTCCTGATACAATCAGTATTGTCTCTGATAAGAGTAAATATCAATGTTATCAGCATCAAAGTGAACAAAGTGAACACCTAGAAAAACTTTCAATACTAGATACAGTCAGTATAGCCTCAAGTAATGATGAATATCAATTTGCTGAGGTTCTTATACGTACAGTAAGCTGATCAAATATATTGATATAATTATGGTTCTATAATGTATTAATGAGATTTTCATTGTAATATTAAAATTATTTCTAGAGTTCAGGTATGTCTTTATCATCATCAATTTCTTCAACTTCAGAAATTGAGTCAGTGTTTAGCTGTGAAGATGATGAGCTAATAATTCAGATGTTATCAACAACTATTAAAGAAGCAGATAAGAATAATAAAAATAATGAAGAGATTCTGATAAAAGACACCGTATATAATCTTTCTAGTGGAAATGAAAGTCCACATAATATGACTCTGATGAATGGTGTAAGTATACTTTTAGTTATTAATTCTATAACAACCTTAATGAGATCAAAGTAGAAAATTTTTTGTTTCTGCAGAATTTAGTTATGTCGTCTTCATCATCAGAAGAAGTTGAAAATACGAACCATTCATTTAGTAGTGGAATAAAGCAATCAAGAAACTACAGTATTAAGTCAATAGAAACCAACTCAACTGAAAATACTTCAATATTTGATAAATTATCAAAGACAATTGAAGAATTAGCAATGAATAATGAAGATTATAAAAAGAAGAGTGAATCGTTAGATCAAGAATTAAATAAGTTGAAAAAATTGCCACCAAAAAAATCTGTACAAATAAATGGTGCTATTAATTCAAAAAAGGGTAAACTATTTCGTAGATGTGGTGCAAATTTCTTAAATTTGGAAAAATGTTAAATGCTTACAAATATTTATTATACTATATTCGAACTAATATTTTTGGAAATAAACCCGCGGAGATATTATATTTATTTAAATAGTTTTTTCTTTTTTTCCTCGATTGACAATCCTGTAGATTCCTAATATTTAAACTTTTATTAAAAATAAAAAAGAATAATTAATTAAATAATAAACTAACTTGTTTCATCTTCAATTTATAAATATTGATATCAAATACATTACAATTCTTAAAATTATTTACATCGTTTGGTCTTGGCGATCATCGCAAACTTCGTGTCGAAATTTGCTTATACATATTTCAATTATCATAGATGGCTCTTAGCGTTCAAATGAGAACCACTGACAAAAATGTAAACACAGTATATCGTTTTTCAGTCACTGCGTCAACACGTGTAACCTTTGCAAGAGTGCCGGCTAAAAATTCAGTTAGCAACAGGTATAAACTACACATCATTCCATAATAATATTGAATTTTATTTAACGTTGACATTAGAAATCTGTTTTCGTTGTTATTTTATAACTTTTTCGAACCATTGTGATCATAATATAAAGCGTAAGAAAATTTTCGAGATCCAAGTATTCGGATAACCTGACATAGTCTTGTAGTTTAAGTTTCAAACGGTTTTCTTTACAGCTTAATTTTTTCATCTAATACTATCAGCTTATATTTAAGACACAAATAAACTATAACATAATTGAATTTATATTATCGATTTTAGAATAAAGTAAAAATGGAATTTGATCCGTACGAGACCTGCCCATACGACGTTGTGCATCGCATTCGTAGATCCCGAATGCAGTTTCACATTACAATATGTTCCAAGAATTTTCCCGCATCAAAAATGATGCAGTGCCCCTTTGATGCTCGTCATAAAGTCAATAAAGTGGAATTTGAAGTAAGTTTTACTCGTAATAGAAGTAATATTCAGTATTATCAAATGTTTGTCTTACACAGTACCATAAGAATCATTGTCCTGCAAGGGAGTCTGTAATTCATTATGCAATTTGTGATGCATCACAAGCAGAACAAAAAACTCTGCCAATTGATGTCAACCCTGTCGGAGTATCAGATGAAAACTGGGATGAGGTAACTTTTTCATTATTTCCTTATAAAAGTACAATTCCAATGAAATATTATCGAAAGAGCAGAGAAGCATTATTTTTGGTGCATTATTCTATTTATAAAGAAAATTTTAATTTAGGGTGCCAATGTCAAAACCTACAACCCACTTCAAGCTATTCAAGATAAACCAATTGTATATCCTATTATTGGACTATCAAAAGCGAAAAGGAAGAACCATAGAATGCAGGAAAGAATGCGTTTCAATCAAATCATGGAAAACAGTGGAAATCAAAGTACAAATCAAAGGGAAATACAAACAAATTCTTCAGTAATATTATCAATTTAATTTTGTTTTACCATTTTCTAACAATTATGTATTAATTTTTCTTTTCTTTTTATTAAGATTAAGGGACCACAATTGCTGCCAAAAAAGTCTGTTGATAAAAAAGATGAAGAGGTAAATTAAATAAAAGAGATGAAAGGATAATCTATGGTATTGATTTAATTATATTTTTCTTATTTTACTTTAGGATTATAAACCATTACGTCGACCACTTCACATTGGTAACAAGAGCAACAGTGCTCCAAGAGATAAAAGCCAGAACTTTATACCTTTTGAGGCAAATAAAATATATATTCTTTTTTGTATTAGTATTGAGTAAATTGATATTGAAAATTATTTATTTACAGGATTTGAAAAAATTACCACAAAGGGTTAACAACACTTCTAATGTTCCAATTAGTTATGCAACAGCACTTTCAAAAAATAAAACAAGTCCTATTTTTAATAAATCTAAGGAAAACAATGATTCTATAATTGATAAGCTATCAAGAACATTTGAAGAAATCGGAGTCGATGATGAAGGCCATAAGAAGAAAACTGAACAGTTGGACAAGCAATTAAATATGTTGAAAAAAATTCCATCAGAGAACAAAAAACAAGAAAACAAAAAACCATAACTTTTAATTATAAACTCCAACATTTTATCATTTTACAATTTTAAAGAAGTCTCAAAAGTTAATTTATAAAATAATTTTGATTGTACAATTAAATAAGGATCATTTACTAAACTCAGCAAGAAAACAAAGATATAAAATGTGATCAGTTACTTTAGATTTCTTTCATGTATTGACACATGATTAAATTATATAATTTATCATACGTTGTTAAAATGAAAAAATGACTTTTTGTATAATTTAATGTGACAAAATTAACGAGTCATCTTGTGGGAAAAAAAGAATATCTGAGTTTATTTTTATTTTTCTTATTGATAGTAATATTATGATTTCAGTGATGAAGTACATGAAAAGGTATTAACTATAGACAATTAAGATATCATTTTTCTATAAAGGGGAAATAATTATATTATTATATAGTTTTAATTTGTGATATACCTTATGGCATTCGATCAAAGTAAACAAAGTGAATTCAAATCAAGGAATATTATAATTTGTTATTTAATAAGAAAAAAATACTTTTTTCAAATAAAACTGTTCAAATATGACAATGTTAAGTACAAAGATATCGAAAAACAGATAGATGTGGTCCGTTTTTTATATTTTAATAATGATAAAGTTTTTTTCAATAAAAAATATCTAAATAGTACTTTGTTTTTATACGTAGTGCGATAGTCGGTATTAACTCTTCAGCTCAAAAACTACAACCGCGATTTTTTACAGTAATTTAATATTTAAATTTGAAATACTTTCAATCATTCTTCATCAGTACTAAAATTCTTTAAATAATGAATTACAGTGGGCTCAAAGTTAACAGCTAGATTATAATCTTTGTAATAAGGATGTAAACAGATAGATTGCTTTGAATGAATTTCTAATGTTTGTTATAACGTTATTATGAAAGGATTTAAATAAAGTAGAATGTAGTGTAAAATGAAAGTTTATTTTATAAGCTAGCAAAAAGCTATTTACAAATACTGCTGAAAAAAAAATACAAATGTTAAGTATCTATAAAGGTAGCAATAAGAAAATTAAAGATTTGTCCCTTGTTTTTATTCCATAAATAAAAGTCATCTTAAGTAAAAAATTAAGTAGTACTCGCTGGTTTGATCTTGTGCCTTGTCCGACTATGATTAGTAAGATATCTCTTTTGACCAAAGCTTAGTCCGCATTTCTGACATGAGAATGGTTTGTCGGTAGAGTGAGTACGCCGGTGCCTCGTCAGTTCATTTTTGACTCCGAAACCTTTGTTACAAATTTCGCATACATGATTTTTCTCTCCAGTATGAGTGGTCAGATGGCTGATCATTTGTTGCTTCCATCTGAACGGCTTTTTGCAGTAGGAGCAATTGAAAGGATATTCATCAGTGTGTATTTTGCTGTGATGGAAAATAATGAAATCATCATGATTTATAAAAATTAAATATTTTTAATTTCACTCGATAAAATATTCTTATTGTGATTTCGAAGTGGTCCACTTATAAATTGTGTGTTTGCAACCGTTCTATTGATAAATCAAAATAAAAATGAACGGACTCGCATTAACGTTTCAAAATGAAGTATTTAATAGTTATAGATTGTAATAATACCTATGGATATATAGCGAAGCTTTAGTCTTGAAGGTCTTGCCACAGACGTCGCAAATGTAGGGTCTTTCCCCAGTATGAATTCTACGATGATCCTCCATGGCAGTTTTCATGGCAAAGCAACGCCCGCAAATATCGCAGGCATGATTTTTTACTCCACCTATCCAAAAGAAAGATTTTTTGTTTTAATTTTCTCATCTGCACTATTATTTAAATCTGTAAGCAGTACTACAATTTTTCGGAAAATTTGTTTTCATTTATTGCATTAACAATAAACAATAAAATAACATTTACTTTTTAGCAGTACTACGAACTATAAAAAAATAACGCGTATTTAATGGTGTATTTTATAAAATCAAAATTTATATCAAGAAATTACATAATAAAATTTATACCGTAATTACTTAATTATTGTTGCCAAAAGAAAATTATTATTAGGTAGGAAAATCTCATGAAAATAAAATCAACACGTTGAACTAACCATGCAAATGTTTAAGGTGATAGTAAAGGCTGCCCGTTTGACCAAACTGTTTGCCGCAAATATGACAGGTGAATGGTTTTTCGCCAGTGTGCTGGCGCATGTGAATTTCGTAGCTTTTGCGCTGTCGAAAAGCTTTGCCACACTGTTTGCACTCGTGATTCTTGGGACTTGCGAGCTTTTGCTTCCTTCGCGGACGTTTGGTACACGAAGGGGATTTGGTTGTTGAGCTTTCATCTTCTATTTCCTCTTTGATTTCAATTTCAAAGTCGTCATCGTTATCTGACTTCTCTTCTTTTTTTACCTCTGAAAGGTCATCTTCTGATACCTGCTCGTTTAACACTGCATTTGCTTTGATTTTTGACACTCTGCTAGAAGATCTATTGCTAGTCGCTTGAGTCAGAACTGACGTATTTTGATGAACGTTGGTTTGTGTGCTAGGCTTGCAACGTTTCCGAAAATCTTTGAAACTACCAGTACTGCTACGAACTATACTCGATCTGTAAGCAAATATGTGAGGGTATGTATCGATAAAAGTGGCTTTATTACTGAAAATTACGGTTTATTATAAATATTACGAATATACAAAAGATGTGATAAAGATCATATAAACCCGATACCAATTGGATACATATTATAAATATGGAGTACAAAATTTCGTTTGTAAGTTTGTTCATGCATCACAAGTTAATTTTACTTAAAAAATATTGGACAATCGACGGCTCATTATTGTTATGTATAAAAATAATTCTTGACTGTAATCTTAAATTACTTGTGTAAGTGACTTATAATTGTAATATAAAAAATAATCGATTCAAACTATCATCATCCGTAAATAAAACTTTTGTTCTTTTCATTTTATGATTAACGCAACAATTGTATAAGAAATCATCACTTAATTACACATTAATTAAAAATAGAACTGTATTGAAAAATCTGATGAAAAATTTAATATTATTTTCAGTATTGTATATTATTGAATACGCATTTCTATAAATCTACTGTACTAATATTTAATATAGCGCCGGTATAAAAGTAGGAACAATTATATTTAAATTAATATATTAAAATAAATATAAATTATATTAAAATATACACGAAGCCTTGAAACTTAACATTTAGTATTAAATTATTGATATAAATAGTGTATATATGAGTATTGAATTATACTTATAAGTACAAGAACTCAACAATAAAAAAATATATTTTATCTAATAATTCATTTAACGAATGATACTTTTATAATACTATAAAAGAAAAGCTATATTTCTTGTTAGATTCATACGAGCGTTTTCATAACAATGTAGAAAACTTCGTTCTACCGTAACAAATTATTATTTCACTAAAATTTATCTAACGCGATTTGTGAGATTAAGAACCAGCCAAAACTCAACAAAATGTACGTAATTTTCTCACTTTAGGATCCTCGGAACGCATCTTCATAATCATCAAAAAAAAGGATCACTAATCTACAAACTACTTCGACATATCACATGGATAAAAATAAAACTTATGAACTTATATGAACTACAATTACCGAATAAAAAGTAAAAAGAAGTTAGCTTAAAAAATATTCTCATCAAACGATTACGATTAAGTGACAAGAGCTTGTTTTGACTCGTCTTTGAAGGTAACTTTTACGTGACAGAGGCGTTGGAGATTGTTGAGCATGGTTTCAGCCTCTTTGGCATGATAACGTTTGATATGGGTACGCAGGTAACGACTAAGTCTGAAACCAATTTTACATTCCGAGCACATGTAAGGTCTATGCTCTGGAAAATGGACACTACGATGTCGATTGAGTTCGCCCTTGGCGGCGAACTGGCGATTACACTGATCGCACTTGTGAGGCTTATTCTTGGTGTGAATGGCAGCTTCGTGATGCTGACACTTTTGTTTCTCGCGGAAGGCCATTGGGCAGTAGGAACACTTAAAAGGCCGAAGATCCTTGTGAATTCGTCGATGTATACCCAAAAGATTGACCGAGCGAAAGTGTTTGTCGCACTCGGGACACGGAAAAGGTTTCTCCCGAGTGTGGATGCGGCGATGAGCGTCGCGTGTTCCTTTGGCCGCGAAGAACCTATAGTCCAGGCAAATTAGAATAACGATCAGTTTCACATTCACTTTGCGATCGTGTCATCTGTTATCAATTAATCACGACAATCATTTGCAATTGTTCAGCGCCTGGAAAGTTGCTCATTCAAGTTCTTTTTGCTAATCATAGCTTGGCTCAATATCTGCACAAACACAAACAGAGGGGATGTATTAAGCAATGACAACAAATAAACAACTTTTCAGACTTTGCAAGACAACAGAACAGATATAATTCATGATCTAAAGTCAAAGCAATATTTGATTGAAAAAAGCAAACAGGAGGTTTAATCTGCCTGGACTAACCGGTTGCAAATGTCGCACTCGTATCGCTTAATTTTGCGATGGACATCGTCGATGTGTCGCTTGAGATCATCCTCGATGCGATAACACTTGCCGCAGTGCTCGCAGATGATTGGCCGACGATCCTCGTGAACGCGCATGTGCCTCAGAAATCCACGTCGACTCTTCAGCACAGCATTGCAATCCTCTAACTGGCAGATGAACTTGAGCTTGTGAGTTTGCCGATCAAAGACTTTGCTGCTCTCGATCACTTGCTCCTCCGCTTGAAGCATGCTCTTGCACAGTGTGCGGCGCTCGTGAAGAAGCACGTGTTTCAGCAGCTTCAACTTAGACAAGTAAGATCTGCCGCAGGTGTCACATTCGTAACGTGTAGCCGTAGCTTTCGTTTCGTGATCGAGGCGCATGTGCTTTATTAGGTCAACCTCCTGTTCGTAGAGTCGATCGCACGTCCGGCATATGTAGCTGGTGGAGCTTTCCTTCTGCTGCCGTTGCCGCCGCTGGTGCTGCTGGTGCTGCTCGGTTCTGCAAACAAATGACGATGAGTTCGTCAACGCTGCTGCTGCTGCTGCTACTGACGCTGCTGCTGCTGCCGCTATCCCCGTTGCTTCGCGAGCGTACCGTGTTTGGCGTGAGTGAACACGTGTCGCTGGCAGTCCTGCTTGCGAGCGAACTGCCTACCGCAGATCTCGCACTCAAAGCTCACAAGGCGGCTGTGAAAACGCTTGTGCACAGACAACGAAGCTCGCTGACGGAACCTCTTGCCGCAAGCTTCGCACTCGAATGGACGCTCGTTGGTGTGGGTGCGCTCATGCTCGTCGCGTGACTGTCTGGACGCGAACTTGCGGGCGCAAAAACTACAGTTCCACTGCTTGAATTTGAAGTGTACATCGCGCACGTGTCTCTTCTTCGACGAGGCGGCCGAGAATTCTTTGTCGCACTTTTGCCCGTTTGACAATAACTGCTCACAATGCCACTTGCGTTGCTGCTTCGTTGAGGTTGCTGCCGATCTGCTGCTCGCGTGAGCTGACTTCAAGTGAGCTGCGTGAGCGTAAGGCGTCGAGCTGAGTCGTTTGCAGTCTGGGCACGAGTAACATCTCACTCCGTTTATCCAGATCTCCGCAGGATGTTCTTTTTTGTTTTGCTCTACCGTGCGACTATCAGGATCCTTCAACTTAACTTGTTCTGCGCGCACTTTTCGCGATTTACTATTGACATTTACTATTGGCTCATTTGTCACCACCTGGATCACCACCGCGTCTTCCAGTACGCATGATCTGTAAATAAAATCCGACGCTACTGCTTACTCTCTCTCACTCTTCACCGCTTGTGCTTGAACGACGTATGTCGATGATGGATATAATATTTCACTTGTTCAACTCGCTGATATTTAATCTGCGTTGCTATTTGCGATACACATTTTTACCTAATTACTAATAACTGTCCTTTCCTCCTTTCATTTGTCATTACTCCTTTTTCTTTCAATCTTACAATCGCCAATGTGTTTAAGTTTATATGCAATCTAAGAGATTAAATTACACTATTTAATTCACTATTACTTTACTTTTATTTAAATTTTACCATTATGTAAGTATCATTTTTAAGTATGTTGAATTTCATATATAAGTTACTTTTATCTATATTTTGTTTTCATTTTTATGAATAATATGCCAAGTAAATAATTTAGTTTATACTATCATCATAAATATTGTATTACCATCAGTACTCAAAAAAGTATGATTATTACAAATATAATTCAATTACTCAGCCATCTGTTTGTTCTACAAACTAAGTATTAATAAAGCTTATAAGCAATTCCCAACATTACCTGTCTGTTTCTGATTCATTAATAATTGGTACATCCTCTAGTTCAATTTTTTTCTCATCTTCAACCTGTGCATTAAATGTTCATTAATGTTTGTAATTATATAAATATTAACATTTGTAAAAGATTGGAAATATTGTATGCAAATATTTTTCTAAAATGCTTAGAATTAAAACTTACTTGATCGTCTTGATTACTGGTAGTTTCCATTTCAGTTCCATTATCAATTATTTCCTCATCTTCACCCACACTAACACTATTTTGCACCTGCAATCAAAAAGACAGTTGTACTATTGTATTATCATAACGAGGTTTAATCTGTTTGTATTATACAAATGTATGTATAAAAATCATACTGATAATAGTCTTAAGATACCTGATTTTTTAAGTTTAATTTATTTTGTAGTTCTATGAGACGTTGCTGAGCGCTGAGACAATTTTGGGTCATCTCATGCCAAGCTAGCAATGTTGCTGCACAATTATAACACACTTGAAGTGGAAGTGTATCTTCCTCAGAAACCTTCAAAAGATATAAAATTATTTGACATTACAGTTATTTGGTATTTGGAGTATACGGAAAATATATATACATACACTGAATGGTAAGTAATTTTCAATTTTTTTACATAGGTTATGTTTGAGCCCTTCACCAAAAAATATTGGAACTACTTTGTCACTAGTATTGGCACATATCCTACATAGCTCATCCCAGAGAATCACATCTTTGTCTTCTAAAATTATTTGACCATTATCATCTATCTCTAACGGTACAAATTGAGAATCAACATCCTGAGAATCTTCACATTGGTTTTCTATTGTTACGTATTGAGCTTGATGAATATCGCCATCTGAATCTTGCTCTTCAACTTCTAAAAAATATTCAGTTGTCTTGATTTCCTCTTCGTTCAAACTTTTACCTTTAGTATTCTGAAGTATTATTCCATTACTAGGTACACTTTTTACTACCACTTGTATTTTCTCTGGTTGAATTTGCTCCATTTTAACTACAAACATAAGCAATTGTTTTATTAGTATTCCAGCGAATTGTAAGCTAATTAGATAATATATTATTATAGCTTTTGACTGCATACCGTTGTTTTTCAAGAAAAAGACGCCACTCATTTTTATCGTGGAATATTAATAAATCATGCGAATACGCATCTTGTAAAATAACTACTTGCCTTAACTTACGAAATTTTTTTAAGTGGAAACGTATAAACTCGTCCTTTATCAAATATACGTAAGTACTGTGAAGAAGTTAAAGTTAAATTAAATAAATGTAGTACACAAAAGCTGCAAACAAGATGTATAAATTCATTGAGATTGAACTGAGATACCGAAATATATCAGATTGCCAAACCCATTCACCGTATAAATAGTGTAGGTTTCGCCATCTAACAGGAGCTGCGCTCTCAATATCATGTCATTTCAGCGTTAGTGTTCAAAAGTGAAATCGCGGCGCCTTGATTTGCATTGTTTAAACAAAAATGTTATAAAAAATAAAAAAGTGACGTGTACAATACTATAGTTTACAGTATATATAGTTTACACCTATACGCCTAACAACGCTGATTGTAGTGAGTTTCTTACGTTTTTCACTGCAAACGATCGACAACTATTTAGTCTGCATGTGTGCTGTCACTGCTATCTAAAATATACATGTGAGTCGAAACATAAGCTTCATGCACGTTCGCGGTTTTGTTAACATTTAGTAGAGTGTACGGATTTACAAATGAGTATATGGTACATAAGTTTTAAGGGATTTGTTTATTAATTAAATGAAATATACAGTTAGTCGTCGTAATTAAAGAACTCCAATGGCAGGTAGACGAAAAACCATATAGGTACAAGAATATTGGGAAATAATACAATTCAATAAAAATAAATGGAAAGAAAGACGGTATTTGTTATACACTCGTCATAGGTTTACAACGCGAAGAATTGCGCTTTGCCTAATTCCGTCGACGGGTCGAATGATACCTCAGAGTCAGAACCACCTCAAAAGGTAGCGCGCGTACCTTCGGCCAGGTCGGGGATGCTGTAGCCCTTATGGTGTAGCGTCGCTGGTTCGCCGAATTGTATAACGAATGATCACGACAGCAACCGACGATCCGCGGGAATGTAGAGCCGGAAGCGCACAGAATTAAACAAAAATTAACACTCACACCTACACACGATCGCAGCGGAGTAAGGTCAGCATGCAATACACTAAGACTGTAAACAGATGGCAAAATGCGATCGAAAGGAAGGACCCGTGCTGCTCGGTTTCCCATAAGAAACTGATCGAATCCCAGCTCCTGGGTCTTACCTTGTAGTCTAATCGGCGTAAAGGAAACAATTTCTACCGATGAGTCCGCGTGCTATCACACTCCTATATAAAGATACACATGTTAGGTTTTTCCTAGACCTCTCCGCCACGAAGCAGCTTAAGGCTGGCTGTACGTCAGCCGCAACGGGCACAAAGACGCACGCGCTCTCGTGCATGCCGCCAACAACGACATTTCATTTAATTAATTTCTACTGCGCGCGAATCGACTATCAGTCATTGGCTGGTCATTATGAATAATTACAAAGCGTTCAACTAGCAAACTAATTGGGCTTGGACAGTTTGTCAAATGAAGTAATGATAAAAATCGATTTGACGAAGAAGATAATAGTATTAAAAGTAAACATAAAACGAAATTGAAATGCTGTTACCAAGTATATTCGACATATTAGCCGGTGACAACATAATTAAAAATATTCTCTTGAACTCATCCATAAAGGAGTCGAAATACACAAATATTGATCTTTAATCGCAAGTATATTTATGTAGTTATAAAATTGACATATATCAAAAAACGGTCTTACGTGCACATAAAATTCCATCCTTCGAGTAACTCCATAGTCCAGCATTTTACAGGACAATATTGATCTTTCAGGTACTTAAAACAGCACTAATATACAAACGTAAAACATTCATAATATTCTATTCGTATAATGAATGTCGAGTTCTTCAATTAATCACCAAATTATTTTATTTGTTATATCTCGTTGTTTTCAGCGATAAATTTGATCTATCCGTAACAAAAATATTTTCAATCATCTATGATTTCATGAGCATAAATATAAAACTGATGTTAAATTTTTATTGAGATCATGTTAATTTCAAATATTAAGCGATATGAATAGCTAAACATATTCAAATACTCAAAGATCGGATTAACTAAAAACATAAAAATCAGGACCAGCGAACAGGAATTTATTTCCTCTGCTGGATTACAATATTATTGTAATATAATATATTTTTATTTTTTATTTTTAAGTAACTAATGTATAATTACTCTGGAATAAATAAATAAAAAATCAAACTATGTGGTGTAAATTACTCAGAAGCTCAAAAGCAGTAAATGCTGAAATATCGAGGAGCTCATGAGCTTTAAAGGTAAGAAGCTCAAAGATTCGAGCTGACTGAAAGCTCACAAGCTTGGATCAGTTGAAGCCTTTGCAAAAACTTATCATGAGTACTACTTATTATTTTTTCACATAACGAAAACTGTTCTATCATATGTAACTGTTGTTCCATCATTACGATAAAAAGATATAGACGCTATTTTTTATATATTTTATTAAAAAGAGAAAGTTAGCTATTGTTGGGATGGCATGAAACACGATTTGGAATTGTTCATGCAAACGTGCTATTACAATTTTCAAGATTGTTTACATAAATTCAATTATACCAACGAAGATACAGATCTTGTGTGTATCTTCATTCATTATACCGACTTGCAGTTTATCCAAGCTGTATTCTTCTAGAGTCTTCATAGATGCCACTAGTTGTCCGACCGCTAAGTCCAAAGTTCGGCGCATGCGCTTACACACACGCTAGCTTTATACTATTTACTGTCTTCGTCTTCTCTCGCGTTCTCTCTCTCTCTCTCTCTCTCTCTCTCTCTCTCTCTCTCTCTGTGTTGCTCTCTTTCTATCTCTCCGGACTATGTATGTACATGTGTATGTGAAATGAGCGTGTGTATGGAAAGATGGCCGCCCGGAGCGTGATGCCGTTTGTTGTGCGCGAAAAATAATATGGCACCGTCGTCCCGGTCCAGCTCCTGACCCATCGTCGCGTTTCTAAATCCGCGTATCCGCGAGTGAACGATCCGTGCGAAAAAAAAATTATCGGTGTGCTCATGTTTTTTTGTTGACGTCCTCGTTATCGTCAGCAAAACTCCGTACTCCTGCTGCTGCTACTGCTGCTGTTGCTGCTGCTGTTGCTGCTACTGCTGACTATCTTTTAGGATTTATTGTATTTTAGTGAGAAGCGATGGCCCTGGTCACAGTGCAACGCTCACCCAGTGTCTCCAGCTCGCCACAAAGCTCGGTAAGTTGAAACTCATCTAGGTTATAAAGTTTAGAGTGATGACAAATTTGTCGTCCGCTGGCTGTCAGTCGGTCTACCTGTCAACATTCTTTCGCGATGTTTGTTTTTGTACCATGCTAAACGTCAATAATAGTGGACAATAATGAAAAATGCAGAAGGCAACGCACATCTTCCGCAAATCATTGATAGTACGTGTAGTATTGCATGCAAGCGGGAGAGAGAGAGAGAGAGCGCGCGAGATACTGCACGCGAGTTTCCTTATATGGTCAGGCGTACTTGACGTTTTTCTAGCCGCGCACAGCGAGAAAGGTAATATTCTGATAAGCGCTATGCGTGCACACACACGCGCATCTGTTCCTTTTTGTCTATTTCTAGCACGACATCCGAATCTGCATTGTCTGTGTCTACGTGTGGAGCGACATTGAAATCCACTCGCGTCAGTGATAAAATTTAGTCAAGAGCCTATCTTTGTCTCCCATTGTCTTTCTCGCTCTCTCGTTGGTGCATGCAACGTCGTGACGGCCTGTTCCCTTAGTCGAGGAGGCACTTGTTACCCGGCGTGTCCACAATACACATAAATTATTGACAGCCGACGACAGCTGTGTAGAAAGAGACGGAGAGCAAAATTGATAGCGAGGTGAAGGTCAACGCTCGAGCTCGACTCTCTCTCTCTCTCTCTCTCTCGGGGAGTTGTACGCGTGTTATGGGGGAAGAGGGTTGGATATCGATCATACCCGCTAACGCGTGTGTTTTTGTTTTACGCGAACGCGGGAAAGTCGTTCGATGCGGGATTGTGGTGGGTAAAGGCAAGATTGTCTCGAATTTCAGTGGCGAAGTATGGGATTTGGATAAAATTTGAAAACGACCGTCTCCGCATGTTCAAAGCATACGAGCGGCGTTTCTTTTTGAGCTTCTGCTGCTGTTGTCTATCTTATCGCCACGTGTGTACGTGTGATACATCCTCGAGTCACTGGTCATAAAGAAATCTTTCTTCAATTAGAAATGCTCATCGGCGCTATTGTCACAAGATATCACATTTTTGCGCGCTTCCTCAATTTCCGATTTATCTTTTTATTGACGCATGTTATCGCCTTGACTCCTCGCAGTTTTTCAGAGCAAGTAAAACACTTGGCGTGGTGCTTTATGCAGCGCACGTCGAGACGAAGAGTTATGTAGCGTGCGTGGGAACATAATGTATATCCTCGGCAGTAATAAATCTATGAAATTGACGAAACTAACCCGAGCGAAAGGAAAGATTGTAAGCACGTCTGATTAGTGAATGAAACCAGGCATGGGCCGTCTGCTCTGGACGCCCGAAGCATGCACACGGCTTTATTGTGCATCGTACACTTTTTATTTGATTATGCTCTGGTAACAAGGAGAGAGATTAGGCTCCCTTGCGCGCGTATCGTCAGCAGGCAGCTGACGAGGCTTCGGCTTTTGTCCCTTGCTCCATTCTTGTCGCACACGAATCTCCGTGCGCCCGTGCTACGCTCCACGCGCACGCGCCGCTCTCGTATTTGCGTAGAGCGCGCTTTTTGATGGCACCAATAATGGCCAGCTATATACGCGCGTCTTATTTGAAATGAAAGCGGCAAAGCGCAGCAGCGAGGATCGAGAAGAAAACAAAGAAAGCGAGCACTGCACTCGGAGCGGCCGGCAGCAAATGTCATCTGCGTACGAGTGCACACGGAAGAGGCATCCGCGCCGGTATAGGTTGCGCAAGCCATTCGCCATAACGGCGAAAGTACCCGAGCGCGATTATGCGCGCGATTAATCGAACGCGGACGCAACCCTCGAATCCCTCATTTTCCTTTTCTCCTTTGAGAGAATAGCCGACTGGAGTGCGTGCGTGGCTTCGACCAGCCTCTTTTCTTTTTACAGCCAGTGATGATTGGGATCGAGAGAATTTAAGGCTGCTACCGGCGCGTGCGTAACGACGAGCAATCTAAAACTGCCACTCCGTGATGACGATCGTTCTACTATTCGCGCGGCCCGCATGAGAAAAGCTCGCAACTTGCGAGCACGCTATACTTGACGAGAGTTTCTCGCTGCCTATTCAATTGGCCGCGCGCGCGCGACTCCTCTTCTTCACCGAGGATTCCCAGACACGACGAGCGACGTCGTTCGACGATCTCCCGGCCTTTGTTGTTCATCGTCTATACCGGCACTCGCAGACGGGATTGTATACGAGAACGGCACGCGTTTCCTCGTGACGTCTCTGCGCCCTCGAAGAAGCGTTGCGCAACGCCGTCGTGCGGTTCGCGCGCCTACAGTTGGACAACTGTTGGACTCGGCTGCTACTCTCGTTTTCCGCGCGGCGCTCTCTGTGGAGCTTGTAAGCTCGCCCGTCGAGATCGAACGAAACGACAAGCTCGCGCGCTTGGCCACCAGAGCGCAGTCGCAATTGTTTGCGTCGCGGACGCTGAAAAGGAGTTTTCTCTCTCTCTCTCTCTCTATCTCGTCGCTGCGTTACCCCGAGCTTGCCGCTGCTGGCGTGGACGGGTTCGCGCCGCCGCAAAGACGGATATATATCGCCCGCGCTTTTCCAGCCGGAAGCAGTACTGCGCGCCGATGCCTCGTCGCTGATACGCGGTGGCGACGGCGGTGGCGGCTACCGTTGCATTCGGATGAGCCGCCAGAATTATTTTCATTGCGAGTCTTTCTACTCGTTGGTTTAGGCCTCCGAGAGCTTATCTTTCGCGCACCTGCGAATGGCAGTTACTTTGGTTTATTAGCGGCTTTACGAAGTACCCGCGATGAGCGAGATAGTAAAATTCAATTTACCGTGAGCGTTTCCAGCAGATAGGAATGTCATTTCACTGAAATATTCACTCGTACGCAGTACGCAGCATCCAGCTTGCGAAAGCTCCGTTGCGCCATGCGACTCCGGAGTCGTCAAACTGTCCACGAAGCGAAAGACAATGTATTTCTCTAGGATTTATCGCACGTATTCAGATTAGTCCAGTGCGGCTGGGCTCGTGTCAAAGAAATCGATTAGCTGGCTAATTGGCTCGCGAAATGAGCGAGAAAGGGCGAGGAGCTCTATCGACTCGATGAAAGTCAATAAGACGATTCGGTGGGCCCTTGAACCGTTCTACATACTTAGCCTTGCGCTTTGCTCTTATTTTGGCGCGCAAGCAGGCGGCCACGCGCGATTTGCATATTACGAGAGAGTGAACCGGCCTAACTGCCATCGTAAAGATGTTCGCAAGCGGCCTTTATGAGCAGGTCGAGTCGCGAGCAGAGAAAGACTCACTCCTCGTTTGAAAGCGGATGGACGATGATGACGCTGCGGCTATTTCTGATAAGGGATTCGTCCGACGATCGGCCCCTGTTCGGCTTTTCGTCGTGCTGTTGCGGACCTAATTAGTTGAGCTTTACGACGATCATTCGTGACTTTTAACAGAAGCGTTGCTGCCTTCGTCAATAGTTTCTTTCACGGTATCTGATTTATCTTAAAATAAGCGTCATTCGTTGATACCAGCGCCAATTAATTGATAACCTTTGAAATTTTCTGTTGATCATTGCAATTAGTTATCGAGCGTAATCGCCTCGAAAAAGCAGCATGAAGATTCATCGCCAAGTGTGACCTTAGCACAAAAATAGCATAAGTACACTGGCGGAAATGGCCCATGAGTGGTGCACGGGGCACACTCGTTGGCACTGGAGCGCAACGATGATTTTTGGTCATGGAAGCGCGCGACGCGTGGCTCGCGTTTGAAGCTTTCGGGCGCGCGGAGAGGACGTCGAGCGAATGTATCGAGTCAGCGTTCGGACCAAGCTTTGCGGCTTGCGCCGCACGAGCGAGCTGCGCGCGCGCACGCGTCGTCCTTTTGTTTGCATTTGATTTGGCAATCTGTTGGACGACCACTCGACGCCTCTCGCTCGGCTTCTTTTCAGGTCGGGCTGTTCGGCTGGCCGCGCGAGAGCACGCGCTTGCTCCATTGTTTCAGCTCGAGGTTATACCTGTGGGCCGAGAGAGGCGATAAACGAGGCCTGGCGAGAGCTGAGAATTGGCAAACACCGCAACGTTGACTTATCGGCCTAATAATTGGGGCGGCTTCAATGAACTCTTGTGAATTATGATGGTGAGTGCACGTACGCGCTCTTTCGTGCCATTGTTCTTGCTGTTGAACATTCAAAATGAATTTCGACAAGTTGTTGCAGGCCAGCCTGTAACTTTCGTTGCAAGCAAACAAGGATACTTGTAACAAGCTCGACTAAAATTTCTCCGACTCTCTGTATTTTTTTGAAAGTCACAGATAAAGCGAGTCTCTCTCGCAGTACACAAACACCTGCAAAAATGGCGGTGAGCACATCGTAACCAAATCCCAAGAGAGAGAGAGAGAGAGAGAAGGAACAGTGCGCAGCGTAGGCATACGTGCAGGCCGAAAAGCTTGCGCAACCATGTACGTAGAAGCGCACGATGCACCTTCGTCGGCGGTGGCAGCGGCGCGGAAAAATCGCGCGCTCCCATGCATTGTTGCTGTGTGTTTGCCATTTACATGCAAAACACTCTCGTTTGATTTGTTCTTTTCGAGCTAGGCGTCATGGGAGGTGTCAATACGCCCTGCTCGTGCGCATGAATTCGTTAAAAGCGCAATACGATATATTGCTGGTCGACAGCAGCCATCCATTGTGCCGCGCTGATTTTTGCCACGCCGACGCGTGTCGCCACTTTTCTTACGACAGCTCTGGCCCATCAATTCTCACGACAGATAGAGAGCGAAATCAATGTCAATGAATAAACATCGAGTGCAAGGATAATCGTAAGGCTGCAGTGAGGCGGGGGTGGGGCGGCAGACTCATGAATGCTAACGAGCTAAGATTTCTCTCGAGAGCGCCGAAAAATCCATTAACGTCGTTACGTAATGCGGCTTCGTGCAGCGCCAGCTACTTTATCGTGAGTGAGAGCCGAACAGATAAGTGAGAGAATCGTCGTCCTGTCGATGACGCAACGGGATGCAGCGGCAGCGAGCACCTCGGTCACGAAACTGACTTGCCATCCTGCAGAGAGCAAGCGCACTGGGAAAATATTTCCCCGCGGCCTGTTTTTGCGGTAAAAGTCTGACTGCCGATTAATCGCGATGCCGAACAATGGATGCAAAAAAAAAGTAAAAGTTGAAACAGATAGCAGCGCAAACTTGCAGTTTTGCCAACTGGTCGCCAACCAAGTTTCGCTTCGGATCCACATGTGGCAAGGCTTTTCGCCACATATGGAAGCGGCTACAACAGCTTCTTCTTCTTCTTCTTCTGCTTTTTCTTCTTCTTCTTCTTCTGCTTTTTCTTCTTCTTCTTCTTTGGCCCCGTAAACTTGACCTGCGCGAGAGCAAAGCAGGATGTTCTTGTTTTTTTTTTCTGCCCTCCCTCTTCTCCACGCGCGCGCAGTAGAAATACGAGCAGCACATGCTGCAGGTGATTTTTCGCGCTATTCTTTGCCGCCTGCTCGCCTTTTCAAAGACTTGTTTCGCCACTTCTGCTTACTCTCTTTTCTCCGCCGAAGTAAGAGCTCTTCGCGGCTTTCTACTCTTTCGTACGTCGCTTTGACTGATAGTTGAATTTTTCGACAAATTGAGATTAATACGAATTATTGGCTTTTTTATTTTCTGTTTCAAGTGTGCTTTTTCCAAATCGCACGTGCTTCGTTGAGATTACAATCAACTGGTTGCTCAACAGATTGACCTTTTATGAATTTCAAATTCATTGTCGAAGGTCATTCTAATTGTTAGACTATACGAATGACTACTTTTCTTGGTGTACTCCACGCTTTCATTCGTTCGATGACACAGCGTGAATGGCATCTCGAAAACCCGTGTAAACTATCGCTGCTATCGGCCTAAACAACTTATGGACGTTGAGGTCGATCGCGATTGATGATAACTGTTGTCAGTTTCAATACGACTACTCTCTACTCATCGGTGTGCAACCAAAGTTTACATGTCTCTGAATTGTTTCTTCTTTGTTTAGTGATGAATAAAATGGTGTGCCAAGAAGTCGTATACATGATCTTGACTAGCATAAGCAAACACGTGTAGACTGGTACGTAAAAAGAAACTTTTCGTTAATGACCACTGCAATGTGAAAGTCGTCACGAACGAATATTTTTGGATTTGAGTATCGTTGCGCGTGCTTTTGCGTTCAGTCGGATGTCATGGTAGCTCGAAAGAAAAGCTAGGCTATTGAGAAAAGCTTGAAATGGTCGATTGATCATCGAACGTTTACGTAGTCTAAGGAGCAAAGAGCCATCAGCGGCGTGCATGCAGTGTGTGGTCTTTCATGCCAATCATTCAGTGCTTTTCCACGAAGCGCGTACATTCGCTCGCCTAGTCTCTTTCTATTTCAGAGCTGAGCCTGCAAAATGGCGGCTAGCCTTTCGAACTTCTCGCGTGAACTTCGGTCGATTCTTCAAGAAGAGCGCCCGACAAAAATGGTCTAGCAGGCCTTTCTAGGCGTTTCGAAGCGATGAGACTCGCTCGTGAAATATCAGAGGCGCTTCGGGAGCGCGACTACGTTTCCGTGACATCTGGCAGTCGCTTCGCCAGCAGCCTGTACCAATGCAAACTCGCCCGCGCCGATAATTGAATGAGCAACGCGGAAGCCTCGTCGGTAATTGCCCGGGCATTAATGCCGAATCCACTCGCTCTCCTCCGTTACGTCATTGCCTTCATTGTTTGCTCAGCGGAAAGAAATTGTACTCGCGCCAATTAGAGAAAGCGCGCAAATATAAAAATTAATCGTTGGAAATATTGAATTTGCAGGATCGCGCACTTCCGAGCTGCATCGGGCGAAAAGCGAAGTGTTTTTCCAAAGGGGAAGAAGAGAAACGCTTCCTCTTGGCAATAAAGAGACAAAGCATGCTTGGGTTTTTTACGCTCACGTGCATGGGGCAGCAGCAGTCTTAGCTAATTGTGTTATCGTCTCTCATTCGAGTTCGGCCTCGAGGCTAGCTGCTGCTGCTGCTGTGGCCAATTAGGTATTCTCGACATGGTAATTCTTCCGAAAGAGGCTCAACGGGTTTTGTTTCTCTTTTCTCTCTCTCTCTCTCTCCCTCTCTCTCTCAATCAGGTTTATACAATGAGAAAGCTGCCTCTTGGCTGGAGCTTTTGCCACTGGATATCCGCAATATATGTATATATTGCTCACAGACGCATCTTTAGACGCATTTGACGCAATTGTTTGCTCATGAGGTTTACATTTTTTTAATTGTTCTTAATTTTTTTAATTGGCTATGCGGTTATAATTACTTTTAAACGACTTTTTACGCAGATTTGTTTATTGAACGATACACCTCATAAATGTGCATAAATTGTTACAGCTACCGGTAAGCTTATGCAAATTGTTCGTCGTTGATCATGCTAAACACTTGTCATCTCTGATACCATCTGAAAAGAGAATGATCCATAATCAATTGGACTGAGACATCGAATTTCAACGGGAAAAACCCCTGTGCGGTTTCAAACAAGCTTCAACTGTACACAGCATCAGCATTGCGCACCGATTATCCATTACGCAATGCTTGGAGCACTCAACTTTATTGAAATTATCTCCTTTAGCCTCGCGACAACATTACCTTGGGAAATCGAAAGTAAAAAAAATAATACTATTTTAGTTAATCTCTTTGTTCATCTGCGTCTTTTGTAGAGGTTCGGTGTATATATAAAGCTGTTATTAAGGGGATAAAATACCATGCACACTGAATAGAGAAAGAGAGAGAGAGAGAGAGAGAAAGGGGTTGGCACGCTCCTAGATAAATTTGGATTAAAGGGAGCTACGTAATGACGAGACATAGCATTAGGGAGCCAGATGAGTTTTTGCATATTGGATTGAATCGAGACTCGATTAAACGTCTGTTCGATTTGTCTTTGTGTTTAAACGTTGAAGTGTTGCCACTATTAGCCTTATCTTTCAATTGTTTTCCATTCGAGTGTCAGATCTGTGCCTGTACTCTGTGGTCGTACCAAAATAGAAATTTATTCATCGATATCCATCGATGTTTCAATGAGAAAGCCTGAGAGGCATAGAAGAAAGTCATAAAAGCACCTACGCGAGTCCATGCACAGATCTAGATCTATCTAGTTGCTCAATTTCACGACTGAGTTGCAATGAAAATACACGCATACACACACCCTAAGTCGCATGTATTTTCATACAGATATACAGGATTACCGGCAGCAAGCTGGCCTCTCTACTTTCGCAGTTAAGCTACAGCCCCAACCAGTCGACCAACAACCCCATGCACTACAACTCTGACATCATATAGCGTACTTCTTTTTTCTGTGTTGCGGGCTGAATCATGTTGCAGCCTTCTCACGCGCTCTCTTATCAAGACGATCGTACAAAAGAGAGGGGCGATGAGCAAGTCTCATCCCCCTCGAAAATCTTTCGTCCAAGTGCACTTGCTTTTGTTCGCGACGCGAGAAGGCAGAGAGAGGAAAAGGGGGGCTGATGAGAGTCCGCGCTATGGCTTTTGTGACATGCGGCTGCAGTGCCAACTTGGAACGACGTGTTAATCTTGCGCCCATGTTCTTTGACAGCGGATGTGGTGTGTGTGTGTGTGTCACACGCAGTATTTTTCGCGAGAGATGATTCATTATTGTCCGATGGCTCGAGCGCAGCAGAGCTATTCAAGGTAGTGCGCCAATGAACGATGACTTATTGCGACGAGGTTCGATTTAGTGTGCGCGACGCCATACTCACGACAACAATCAATTTCCTAGAATAATTATTCATAACAAGCATCACGGGTAATAATCACACGGTAATCACTAATATTGGTTTCGCTCATTAGGCCGCCCACCACACGCCGATTCGACACTTCGCATTTATGCACAATCTTTTATCATTGATAGTACATTAATAATGACTGTGTTTTTGCAGGATTCCGGTGCGGGTGGGCCAGTAGACGACGACGAAGCATCTCGAACGTGTGTCAAAAGGTTTGTACACATGGCACTTAGAAAAATAAATGATTTTATCGTTATTACATTCGCTATGTGCGTCTATTATTTGGATGATATCGTAAAATATTTTGTGTAAATACCTTGCTTAGTAACGCCTTCAATGTCAATATGCGATACGCGGTTGCAGCGTACAAATAATGTCGCGTTCGATCTTGAAATTTTTTTTTCCCGAAGCAAATATCTGACGTGTATTTGCGGGATCACTCATAGAGATTAGATTTAATCTTATTGGAAGTAGTAAAAGATTAGGTGGACGAGGAAGAAGCTTTGTTGGCGGAAGATGGACTGTTTTTACCAAGGATTATTACGTCTAATGAGTTGTGCTTATCTCACCTGACGAGCTGCACTTTTCATCGTTAGCTCTTACCATCGGATATTCAAACTATCACAGGCAGAAACCAGAAAACTCGGTCGATTGACCCGAGGGACGTTGCACCGATGAAAAGCCATGATATTTGTCGACAATTTCCGCGCGACACTTGCGTCCGCGCCATCAACTTCGCGAGCGTATTGTTCGGCTGGACGATAGAGCGAGACGCCCAATAGAGTGAGCAATGAAGTCGAAAGACAATCGACTTCCTCGTTCGATTGTCCCCATAATAATACAATTAAACGTAACGCCCTGTCATTGTAGCAACGAGAGAGAGAGAGAGAGCACGAAAAAAAGAAAGTTTTCCGTTTCCGTGAGAGAGAGAGAGAGAGAGAGAGAGAGAGAGAGATTGTCCGAAGCGTTAATTGGCTGACGAGTCATCCTCGGTGAAAATGGCTTTTTTCCGCTCGGGAATGCCGAAGAGTACGGTACGCAGCAGCCGCGAAGTAGAAGATGCGAGCAAGCATTTATACACGCACGCGGCAAGGGTCCGCGCGAGAGAAACTCTGCAGCGATTTTGCAACGGAAAATTGAAATTCGACGAACGCCCGGACACAGCCGTCCTTACGAGCGAAAAAAAAGCAAGCGACTATCGAAGCTATTACGAAGGACTGTCGCTGCGGTTTTCTCGGAAATCTTGTTCTTTGGCGAAACCGCTCGGATAGAGAGAAATCGTCTTTCTATTCATTCACTTTTTTGTCGTGTCTCTATATACAGAGTATTTCTAAGGCTGCGCGATAAAGGCCTTTTAATGCTCGCCCGCAGAAATCGGAAAGATACGGCACGGCGCGGCGCGCGCTCAGATCGGAAGATCGAATGGAAAGGTTAGTTGGCTAAGCAGCGCAATGCCGGAAAAAGGCCGTGGCAACAGTTGCGCTCGGTCATATCGCAGCCGAGCATGCGTAAGACGGAAGATGTGTGAGTTTTGAGACCCCAAGCGTAACCACTTCCTCGCGCGCAAAAACACTTTCACGCCGCGCCGCGCCATACGCCAAAGGACCAACAACCGATGGAACAGCCGTTGCGCCACCGGTAGCGAGTATCGACGTTGCTCGAACCTTGGGACGATCAGGCTCTGACGAGGAAAGGTGAATATTTAGGAACTCGTTGATATACGAGCATGCAGATTTTACATTTTCTACTGGCTCGAGGTTGATCGTAACGACATTCTATCTACAAGGGAATTATGAGTTTTTAGCAATTAATAGTGATCCACAATTAGATTAATAGGTGATTATTACATTACATGGTTTGATGTTCATTTTTTAATACTGCAACGTGGCACTGTTTTCATGACGATCGCATGGTAAAATAATATGCTTTATTTTTAAAAAATTAGAACTGTATTGTAGTTTAGTATCGAAAATTTGAATGAGACAAGCGATATTACTGCAACGGTCGTTTGCCACATTTACACAAGACATCATAGAAAACAACCAAATCAGTGAGCCCAAAGAATTGTTGTTTGTTGTTTGGTTTCCTGAAAGCGACGAAAGAATGGAAATGACTGAGGAAATGGGGTTGACGGCAAAAGAACAGCCGAGTCTCGAATACGCACACCTAATAAGCCCAGGCAAATGAGTTTGCGGTTGTTGGCTTACGCTGTGAAAGTATCTCTGTCTGGTGTCACTTATCGCTTGGGGGTATCAAAAACCACGGTGAATATTGGTTTTTGCTTGTCAACGAGCCTCTGCCAAAGACAATGACGCATTATGAGCCCGACTGTCCGCCACAGGCTTCGATGGACAATCGGGTGTGTTAAATAGACTCGAACTAACGCTTCAATTTTTTTTTCACGAACTTTTTTGCTTCTTGATTTCCTTCAAAAAGCAACTCTTTTTCGTGGTCTTTTGCATTTTCTCTTTTCTTTGCTTCACTCTCCTCGGAGAAATTCACCAGCCAATTATAGTACTGGTTTTATGCCGTTGTCTATTCGGCGAAATATCATTGTTACGACATTCTACAAACATTAATTTGGTTGGTTTTAGACTCATAAAATCCCTGCACTCCGGCACTTTTCAAATCAATATCGGCGTTTATCGTTGCACTCAAGCTGGTTGCACAATAGTTTTTAGTAGCTCATTTCGAGATGGCTGATTGCTCGCTCACTGCTTTATATTCGGAAATAGTCAACTCGCCGCTCATTAATAAATCCGCAGCGCTCGGGTCCGCAGCTCCACTGCTGTGGCTCTCGTCGGAGCGCGAACGTGCGATTCATCGGCAGCGCATCAGATTAGTGAACGCGACGATCGTTATCAGCTGGAAAGCAGTTCAATGGTACGTAATCTGCAAGTGTATTTTGCAACATTTGAAACTCGTCGAGCTGACGGCTTGCTAGATTTGCAGTCGTGTGCCTTGCCGGCGGTAGATGGATTAGTCGTCCAATAAGTTGACAACGCGCTCGTCCAATTAAATGCCGAATCCCGCGAGTTTTCGAAAGGCTCGAGCTTGACAAACGATTGGCATTTTCGCGCGACAGCATGATTGACCAGTGGACACTGGCGAGCTATCAATGGCCGCGTTTATTAACGAGTCTTCGAAGCGCGACAATTATTAAGGAACTGCTTGCTTATATGCAAGAGGCTACGAACTATCGTTGCGTAAGAAAACATGTCGCTACTGAGGCGCAGATCGCGGAATCGATTTGTTCTGCCTGTGTAACGAGGCCGAAACGGAAAACGCGCTGTGCGATCTGGCCGCCGAGATAATGTCTGTTCGGCTTCAGACCGGCGTACGTTCAGCAGCAGCACCACCACCACCGGCAGCAGCAGACCTTTTGCAATAGGCTAATCAGCGTGTCTTTGCTCTTTTTCTCGTTGTCGCCGGGACAGGTTGATTGTTATTGCTTTGAATTACAATCAATGCGGCACATATATCTCATGCTCTTTCTGCATTTTCTCTTTATTTGCGTCGTTCAGTTCGCTCGGATTTCGCTTAATCTTAGAATCGTCATTTATTTTAGAAAGTTTTGCCGTAAATCGTGGTTTTTTCTTCGACGATGGTTTTACTGCAGTTTCCGAGACTCGTGGCTGTATTATTTTTTTTTTGTGTGCGTTCACGTTTTATAATTGTAATCGAAAGTTACTATTATGTCTGCGGACCAAGTCCAATCAAATAACTGGCGAAAATGCTTTGTCAAAGACACATCGATCTACAACGAGCCCGCCACTCATTAACGCGCTCGAGTCCATTCGTCAGCCGAGAATTTTCTCCCTTGGCCTGCGCCGCCGTTTCGAGACGTGAGAGTGCGCGCGCTTGTCTGATGAATAATTCAAAGGGAAAAGGCATGCGTGTCCAGTCTATAGTTTCTCTCTCCAAGAGATAATCGAGACTTATATCGTAATATCCAAAAAAGATTTTCCCTTTTTGACGAAAGCAGGTCGCAAAGGCTTTTGACCTTCACTGTAATGAGTGTGCGCGAGAGTTGACAATTTGCATGATTATTATTTGGCTTTCTACGTTCTCGTGTAAAGGAGGTTTTGCTTGTTAGTGATTATGCTTGTCGCGCTGCCATTTTTCCGTTCTTTTTTAGCCGCTTATCGCACACTTGCAAATGGCTTTTTCTTAGCGGCTCACCAGTGTGTTGTTTTATCAATTATGAAACGTCGTAAAATCAAAGTTTGCATAAAGTCAGACTCTAGGTAATTACAGGAACTTCCGCAATAACATAAAACAGCCGAGAAAGAGGTTTCACTTTGGCACGTTTTACAGTCTTGGATATATCAAGCCATTCCACATTGGTCGTGTAAGCTTGATGCTTGGGACATTGAAATGTATATAAAACCGTGTTTTCACGCCCCGGCGCGGGTAGCAACGTGCATAAAATTGCAAAAACAATGTTTTCGCACCCACCAACGATGACAATCTTTGTCGTGTCGGAATTTTTGCTGCGTAAACGCCGAGTGTAATGTTGTCGAATGGCTGATTGATTGCGCCACTTTTCAAAGAAAATTAAACAAAAATCGTATTCATCGTCGGATGCGCGAAACATCACTATGATAAAGGAAAACGCCGTTGGCGAAAAATAGAAAGTAAAGCTGCGAAGAAAATGTGGATGGAGCGAGCGAAGAAAAGAAGTGAAGGTACAATATTTAATGTACGGTGTGCCGCCACGTGCGCACGACTCGCGCTTACGTTATCGCGGGGCGCGAAAGCTGAATAGCCATGATTTCACAGTTAGTCTAACAGTATATTTCGACGGGGCTCTAGGTGCGCTTTTCATGCGACCTCTCTCTCTCTCTCTCTCTCTCTCTCTCTCTCTCTCTCGCTTCATCGATCACGCCATCAACACAAGACCATTGCTGCCGGAAGTGCCATTTTTGCCCGCGCGCACCACGAAAAAACGGCAAATCAGAGCGTGAGTCGTTGATCGCGCCCGACTGCCTTGCGTCATTTGTATTCTTTTCCATTAGGTTTTCAACCAAGCTTTACCTATGTTTGCCGATCGTTCGATGGTTTTTCTGCTGTCGTTTTGTGGGATCTCCGAATTAGGAAAGCCGAGCCGCGCGCAGTACTTCCTGCGATATTGCAGCAAGGAAATCGAATCTTTGGTTGATTTACGAGCCAAGCCTTTGCCAACTTACGGTTCTTTAAGTGATATCTTGTC